TCTCCACCAGGTGGTTTGTAAGTTTATACAGACACCAAAGTTGAATACACAAAGGAAAATGTGCCATGAATTACAGAAAGCAGTAACACAGGTTTCATGCTTGGGATTTCAACTGACAAGTAAATAAATGTGTTAAGTGTGGAAAAAATATTTACACACCTCCCTTGTTTACATATGAAACACCCCACAATGGCAGAAATAATACCAACCAAAAAAATTGGACCTTACTTTGTCCTGATTCTGGAACCCATTCAGATCAACCAATACCGCTTTGAATTTTACAAGATTTCTAAGGCTGGGTTTACTACTTCAAACTACATTACACTTAATGATAACTCTCCCTACACTTTTAACAGTGCAACATTATTGTATCTAATACTACCATGTAATGCCAAGCATAATGTTCTGTGTAGAAAACCATTCATTTCAATTGATTTTACCTGTCTCGGAATAAATTTGCCATTTTCCCTCAGAAGTCTACTCCTCATCAATGCTTGGCTGAAACAAAATGTGAACAAACTTTTAAGCGGAATACATGTACATGTATATGAACAGGTATTGGACAACTCGACCATTTACCGACTCCAGTCGAGACAACTCGACCACTGAGGCACACGGTGAATGGGACAACTTGAACATTTACCCAGTTGTCTGATAAGACAACTTTGACAACTAAGCCTTGAAGTGTGCGAAAAACACGTCTGTGTCTTCCACACAGTACAGGTACATGTCATGTACGTATGTACACTGTACATGAACACGCAGCGCCCATGTAACAAGCATTACGCTGGTTCCCAATTAAACCAGTGTACTTTTCACGGCGATTTGGTAGTAAACTGGTACTTGCCCATTCCCATTCTCTTTCCGCGTTGCCTGTCCAACTTTCGTTTACCGCTACTACGTGAGAAAGGACAAGACGTACATGTACATTTGTGTATACAGTGCAAAGTATACAAATATGCGGGCTCGAGTTTTGTGCGTAATGGCTGCCGTTTTGCTCAAGTGCGCATAATCAGTGACCTGTTCAAATACCCTTTGCCCCGAGGTTGCATCGCTCTATCGATGCCACACGGGATCAGAATCCAGTTTAAACACGGCACGGATCTGATCCCCCTCGCTTGATTGCTCTAACCAGATCTGATCCTCCTTGCAGGATCAAGTGTAATCGTGGTGAGAATCATTGTATACAGGAATATGCGCTACTGATATTCGCAAAATTGACACATGTAGGTTTTTCCTGGTGCATGTAGGTTTTTTGGTCCACATGCACCAGTGCATGCCACTTTTTTTGTAAATCGAGGACTGCTCTAGCATCTCCGGATGAGATGGGCATGGTTGACTATCATGACTATACATACATGTACATGTACATGTTGTCCCTCAGGTTCCATTAGCTTACATGTAGTTAACCCCCTAAAAGATTTGGAAATCTATCTCTGATCAACTCCCTTATTTAAGCATAGGCCTACCAACATCAAATGATCCTTTTTAGGCTCCAAATCATTGTATGTACAGGTACTTGCGGGTAATTCCAGAAATTAGGAGTCCATTGGTTTTCTCGTGTCCCGGTCACATCTGACATATGATTTTGTAAGTTCAGAACACATTTTTCTAATTTCTAGGAGTGATGAATTTTTGCAAATTACCTGCCAAACAAATAGTAACAGTTTGAATCAATTCCGGTGATATTTCCATGTCAAATAACAAAGGTCAGATGTACCAGGGACACCAAGAGTCACCCTTTGGAGCCCTAATTTCTAGAATTATCCTTACAGGCTCCACATAGAGCAACGTTCCTTTTGCCAAAACCAAACGTTTTGGCACTGCACATCTCTACTGTTTGGTTAGTTTCGCTGAAGTTTAACTATGTGAACAGTGGTGAACTTAAGTTCTGAATTACTTACAGAACTGCAAGTTACTACTCTGTTTGACTTGCACTAAGTTGCAGCCCTACAATTTGCTATGGGTTTGGCATTCGCAATGCTATGGGTTTTCGAATGCAGCCCAATTATGCCGGCCTACTATAACATGTATAAGCATGACTAGGCCTAGTACATGTACATTTATTGATGTTTTACCTGAAGCACGCGCACTGTGTAATGCATGCAAAGTGTGCAATGTGTTTGGGTCATGTTTGTCAGGAGAGTGGGATGGTGGTGAAAAGCTCCTAGCCTAGGCCCTTTTTTTCAACAAACAGTCAGTCACATGGTCTTAAAGGGATCAGGTCAACTCAGACCCAAACCAGCTCGGACCCATTCCAACTTGGACCCAAACCAACTCGGACACATTCCAACTCGGACCCATGCCAACTCGGACCCACAACCAACTCAGACCCAATACTAACTCGGACCCACGACCATCTCGGACCCACAACCAACTCGGACCCACCTCAACTCAAGTCAACACCATCAGACACTACAAAAGGTCAGTGTTTGTGATATTGATGTATATCTGCAGTATGTGTTGTACGCATGCAGCATCTCTTATGTACAGCAGAAGGGCCTATCTGTGGCTTTTTATTGCAACAAAGACTTTGGGGGCTATTTAGTGAAAGTTCATTCGATTTCTTCTGTTGATCTGGAGTGCCAAAAAAATTCGGAGAAAGGGCTTCAATGATTTGGTACTGTCAATCACACTCCAAAAGCTGCTCCCATTGGTTGTCCCAAGCTCCCATTCCCCGATCATAGGGTTTCAAGAATGGTAGGTGACAAAATCAGTCTCTTTGTGGTTAATCACGCCGGTACCTCGGAAGCTAATAACCGATTAAGATTCTAGATTACAAGCGGCAAATAAGACATCAAAGGAATGGGCAACCATAAAAATACAACGCTCATCAGCTATTTATCACTTGTTCCAAGACATCACTGATATCAAATCTAGTCCTGTACGGTTTTCAACCACCATGCCTGTTCAAACTTAAAAACTGAGAAATTCTGGGAAGTCTGTGCCACTGTTTCCCTGCATTATGTGTACAGAGGACGTTACATCTTGGCAGCATGCAGTGCAAAAGTGTCATTTACCAAATGCTAAAATGTAAAAGTGGACAAAATCTAAATTTTAACAAGATAATCACGCTCCTGGGGTTGGGTCCGAGTTGACACAGGGTGGGTCCAAGTTGGTTGTAGGTCCAAGTTAGTATTGGGTCCGAGTTGGTCATGGGTCTGGGTTAGCATGGTTAGAACTGGGTCCGAGTTGGCATGGGTTCGAGTTGGTTTGGGTCCGAGTTGACTCGAAACCATCTTATATCTTAAAACCCACCATCTGGCCTGTAGGCCTAGATCTGATTTAAGAGAGGGGCCTATCTGCCTATGCATCAGTTTCAACGGCTGTTTGAGGGAAGATTTCATTGAGAAAGTGGAATTTTTATACCGTAAATGTAAACTGATTTGACATAACCCAGGGACTGCATTCAGAACCCACAGCGTTACGAACCCAACACTACAGTTGTATGGCCGCAAGTCACACGGAAGGAGACCTCAATTCAACTTCAACAAGACTTGCAATGTCATGACTACCATACAATGACTAATTAGCCCCTAGCCAAAAATATAACCGTTTCATTTACCCGTCAGACACTTGCTGTAGACTGACTTTCTTCTGTGATGTGAGGAGTAAACTGACATAGTGCCTGATGATTCCCACGAAAAATGTGATAAATACGATGGGTAAAACGACCCAGAGTCGAATATTTGGGTCCAACAATAATTCGGCCATTTTGAGATTTTTTTAAGCAGGTTAGTCCTAGTGAGGGCGCTGTTTATTTTTCACGTATTTTTTTTTACACCGTAGCCTAGGATTTTTGCTGTGGTGGTGCTAATTCGTGCTTGAAATGCGACTAGTGCTAGGTGCGTATGCGAGCGCATGGGATTTAACGTGGGGCGGGAACATGACATACTGTACATGTTTATTGCTGTTTTTAAGAAAGTCCACAGGGTTTCAATGCATGTTACTAAAAATTGGAAGACGCATCTAATGCGTATTTATTCAAAATGACTTTCAGCGTTAGGTTTTATTAAAATTGGCCGAAAACCATATTGTTTCCAAGTTTTGGATCACGCATTAAGTGCATGCATGCACGCAATATATGTCGCGAACTCATCTCCGATGCAGAAATGTACGGGACGCATAGGCCCTGACTCTATGCGTGACGTAATGGGTTCGTCAAATCATAAAGCAAGGCATATGGTCAAATGCGCGGCACGAGGTAGTACTCGTGTTGGCTCGCGCCGTGCTGCTGAAAAAGTTCAGTCGAAATTTACGCAAGATTCACTTTTTAAAATTTATTGGAATTCTTATTTTTGAACCAATTTCTCTAAATTAAGAAATTTTTCATCAGAAAATAAGCTTTTTACTATGGTTCTAGCTGAAAATGGTCTGGCCACTCGCCGTGGTTACTTTCCAGAAACCGATCCAAAACGAGGAAAAGTGTTGCCACTTTTGTCGATCCTGTATGTCCGAATGAAAAGTTTAAAATTTGATATTAATTTGGTAGCATCTCTAGCACACAAAGTGGATGTGTGACCACTGGCATATTTCACTGGAATTAAAGGATTTTTTGTAGCTGCAATATCTGACTGAATAATTCTTGTGATCTGGAACTGGAAAACGACTGTAGTACATTTAGAGATCTCACTGGTCGAGTTGACTCTCTATCAAAGTCGAGTTCTCCTATCGGGCGACTTGAAAAACCGTGGTCCAGTTGTCTCACCGGTCGAATAGTCCGAAGTCGAGTTGGCAAACGGTACTTGTCCGACGTCCAACCAAATAATACGTTAAGTTTTCACTGAGCATTTCCGGTGCCGGTCCCCTTCTTCAGTGCTTCAAATGCATGCAGGCAGCGACGCACCAAGGATTCGAATTTTTTGATATCCTCCTTTGCTCAACAGTGCACAGCTAGCAGTTGTTTTTGATATCGAGAGTCTTTTACTGTAGGTATAATAAGCATCACTGACTCACTCTGCTTAGCCGTATAACCTACCTGCTTATTCGACTCTGCAGTAATAGGCTACAGTTGAACAAACCTAGAGGAAATGATGCAGACGAGGTTGTAATTGCGGATACTCGAAGACCAGCATTAACATGTTTTAAGTAATAAATCTGGAAATGTTGGGTTTTTTTAATGGAAAAGAAAAACTGAAATAAGAGAAATGAATTGAGTGGAAATCTCAATCTGCTTGAAAACAGTCCTTATATAATGACCACTTAAATTTTCACATGTTTGTCACGTCGTACTTGTATTTTATCCCCTTAACCTCGAAAAATACAACAATAATAATAATAAAAACACTGCTTCGGAGCATGGCTATACTCAGGATAGCTCATCAAGCTAGTTGCTATTATGGCGGTGATTAAAATTCAACTTTTTTCACACACACATGGAAGTGTGTATTTGCCTGCAACTGGGGACCCCCTATTGTTCCTCTTTTGTTTGTACTTTAACTTTTTTAGGAGACCACCCATATGTTTTGTACACAGTTGTCAATTGGGGACCCTCCGTCAATCGGGGACCTTATTGTCCTCTATTGTTCAGGGTCCCCAATTGCATGCAGAAACAAACTCACACACACCAAAGAAATAATTTGCCTATCACAGGAAGAGGAATCACCCCAATACTGTCACAATCCATCGGTCTATCACCTCTAGACATTTATTTATTGTAGTATATGCATTAATTATGTTTTGTGGCTTTGTGGGTTCTACGCCTTATGACTGGTTTGGTCAGTAGTAGTCTCTATTCAAGCGCAAATTAGCACCGGGGGAACCGTAGGCTACGGAACGGTGTAAATAAAAATTACGCTGTACAATAGTTGTGTAGTCAGGCATGTCTTGTGTGGGTGAACGCCTTCGTGTTCAGTAGGCCTATTAATAATATTGTTGTGAACTCCTACCACAAACAAGGTCGTGTGTCAATCTAGATATCTGTGAGAAGTTTATCTCCAGATTTCCTGCATTAGGCTTTCTCGTACCACGAACCCAAGTTTGTTGTGGGTATTTTGATTGGGATGGCTCCTAACCATGCATTGATGCAATGTTTGTTATGTATATAAATGATAAAGCGAGTCACATGAAAAGGAAACCAAGTTTTGTTGTCAATTTTATGACCTTTACTTCCGTGAGCAGACAATGACACCGGGGTCGGAATGAGTGGCGTGCATGCGGTGCAGGATCTGCACTTGTCACATTTGGTTGGAAGATCTGCCGATACCGTGTCTGTACTATCAGACATGTCAGAAGAATTGGAACCAGCGGAGAGTATGACAGAAACTGGGGTTTTGCCAAGAGGGGCCCAGCAAAATGACAGAAACACCAAGATTAGAAATCNCCCTGGCTCTATGCGTGACGTAATGGGTTCGTCAAATCATAGAGCAAGGCATATGGTCAAATGCGCGGCACGAGGTAGTACTCGTGTTGGCTCGCGCCGTGCTGCTGAAAAAGTTCAGTCGAAATTTACGCAAGATTCACTTTTTAAAAATTCATTGGAATTCTTATTTTGGAACCAAATTTGGCTAAATTAAGAATTTTTTTCATCAGAAAAAAGCTTTTTACAACGGTTCTGGCTGAAAATGGACTGGCCCACTCGCCGTGGTTACCGTCTTTCCAGAGACGATCCAAAACGAGAAAAAGTGTTGCTACTTTCGTCGATCTTGTATGTCCGAATTAAAAGTTTAAAATTTGATATTAATTCGGTCACGGTAGCATCTCTAGCACACAAAGTGGATGTGTGACCACTGGCACATTTCACTGGAATTAAAGGATTTGTTGTAGCTGCAATCTGACTGAATAATTCTTGTGATCTGGAACTGGAAAACGACTGTATTACGTCTAGAGATCTCACTGGTCGAGAAGACCAGCATTAACATGTTTCAAGTAACAAATCTCGAAATTTTGTTGTCTTTTTAATGGAAAAGAAAAACTGAAATAAGAGAAACGAAAGGAGTGGAAATCTCAATCTGCTTGAAAACAGTCCTTATATAATGACCACTTAAATTTTCACATGTTTGTCACGTCGTACTTGTATTTCATCCCCCCTACCCTCGAAAAATACAACAATAATAATAAAAACATTGCTTGAGCTTGGCTATCCTAGCTCATCAAGCTAGCTGCTATCATATGGTGGTGATTAATTTAAAATTCAACCTTTTTTCTCGCACACACCAAAGAAATAACTTGCCCATCACAAGAGGAATCACCTCAATAGTGTCACAATCTATCGGTCTATCACCTCTGGAGTATCAACTTTTGTAACTAAATACAGACATGTATTTGTTGTAGTACATGCATTAAGTATGTTTTGTACGCCTTAGGACTGGTTTGGTCAGTAGTAGTCTCTATTCAAGCGCAAATTAGCACCGGGGGAACCTTAGGCCACGGTACGGTGTAAATAAAAATTACGCAGTACAGTAGTTGTGTAGTCAGGCATGTCTTGTGTGGGTGAACGCCTTCGTGTTCAGTAGGCCTATTAATAATATTGTTGTGAGCTCCTACCACAAACAAGGTTGTGTGTCAATCTAGATGTCTGTGAGAAGTTTATCTCCAGATTTCCTGCATTAGGCTTTCTCATACCACGAACCCAAGTTTGTTGTGGGTATTTTGATTGGGATGGCTCCTAACCATGCATTGATGCAATGTTTGTTATGTATATGAATGATAAAGCGAGTCACATGAAAAGGAAACCAAGTTTTGTTGTCAATTTTATGACCTTTACTTCCGTGAGCAGACAATGACACCGGGGTCGGAATGAGTGGCGTGCATGCGGTGCAGGATCTGCACTTGTCACATTTGGTTGGAAGATCTGCCGATACCGTGTCTGTACTATTAGACATGTCAGAAGAATTGGAACCAGCGGAGAGTATGACAGAAACTGGGGTTTTGCCAAGAGGGGCCCAGCAAAATGACAGAAACACCAAGATTAGAAACCNTTGTGGCTTTCTGGTGAGTACATGTAGGCCTAGGCCTTTTTTTTATGTTACCACATTGAATATTTACAGACATACAGATACACGCATGACAAGTGACATATTGCCGTCTACCCACAGAACTATTGGGCTCATCATTGGCTTCATTTGTCAAGCCGATGACGAAGTTCTTTTTTTGATCGAGAACCACAAGATGGCACAGTGAATATGGTTTTGGTCTTTTTGTGGTGGATCCTCGTTAATCTTGTCTGTTGTCTTGCAGTTTTATATTTTTACTAAATAACATTTGTTCCCAATTTGGAATCAATTTGTTCTTTCTGATTTCAAGTCAATCAAAATCTTAATTATCAATATGCCCTATCCAGGATACTCAATCAAACTCAATTCAAAACATTGCAGGATTTCCTCCAAAAGTAAAAAGCCATTTCACTGCTGATGACAATTTAGTTACTTTTGGTGTGCTTTTTTTTGGTTTGAATTAACAGGTTATTAGGACTGTGCAATAACTACGCCTATGTTATCATGCTAAGTGCAGCTTATGACATCTTGGAAAAGAAGGATACAGTCCCAGACAGTGTGAGTAGGTCATTTTCTCATGGTTTTGGTGAATGATATATCCAAATTCTATGTCTACCCCTATTCTCACAGTCGGCATGACGTCACTGTGGACTTTTAACACACGGCAGAGGGGCAAGTTTACCCTTTGTGCTATTCAATAATGTGAAGATCCCGGATGTCCGACCATGAGAATACCTGATTGTGTGTTTCTGTGTTCCTACATGTAGTTGCCTACTTGTCATTTGTTTTCAAATCAGAATGGTTTTTTTTGACAAAACAAAATTCTGAAATTGAAGAACAGGGCAGGTTGTCATACTTAACTCTTTGTCCATACTTCTCACACCATTTATACTTTGTCTTTCTGGGAAAACATCAATTTAAATCTAGATAGAATCTAATTATTCAATTTTTTCAGTTACATGTATTTGTGTCTATTGATATTTTTTCAAACATTACACTGGCTACAGTCATACCTTATCAAGAGCTATATAAATTGTTTTTTTTCCTTGTATTTTGGGCTTTTTATGCTGTTACTCAGGTCTTTTTGGTTTTTTTTTCTGAAGGAGATGTCTATAATTAAACCCCCTCCCCCCCTCTGAATATTTGTAACTGTTTGTTCAGGATGTGGAGCCCATGGATACCATGTATAACCTGACCAACAGCACATCAGCAGGACGATTTGATTGCAATCCAATCTCAACAGGGGTGAGAATCCATTCAGTTCTTTGAAATCGTTACTCTCAGCTTGTTTGAAATGTCTGCAACAGTACAGCAACGTTTCATCGTGTAGATAATAAGTATAGCTGACAATCAAACAGGAAGTTTGATGGAATAGAATTAAATGTTTCTCATTGCATTTCACCAAACATTAATAGAAAAATCATGACAACCTATTCAGTTTTGATTGCAGGAGAAATATTGGAAAAAAATGAAGAGTTGCACGGAAAGTATTTCAGAAGCAATATTGGAATTTGTAGCATAAAAGGAGTTAAAACCTTGATCCCAATTGGTCTATTGCTTTGAGATTAGAGCGCAACAAAGAAATTCCTTTCTCCTCCTAGGAATATGTCTCACACTTTCACATACTTCCAATGACACCACAGACTCTACTTTTTTTAACAGGCTGTTCTCCTAGCAGATATTCTGCCAACCTTGATCATAAAACTGAGCGCACCCTGGTTTGCTGACTACATTCCATATAGGTGGGTGGTAGTGCTCATGTAAAGTTGACCAAGTTGTGGTTTATCCACCTTTGAAACTGTCATCACCTCATCAATTTAAAGATGATCCCTTAGTTCAGAGTTACTGCAAGCCCCAAGTTCACATTGTTTGTAAAAGTAATAACGTTTGCCGATTGAAGTATATGTACTTGTAAAACATTGCTATACTTTTGGAGAAGATACTTTCAAGTTGCTTGGCAGGTTTATTTATATTTCCGTATTGGAACTCTGCTCATGAATTTTGAAAACAGATCCCAATCGATCAGGCATTCAAATGATATTGCATTTTGGTGACGCATGATACTTTTCATCTCTTGTACAAAGAATGTGTTGTCCACAACTTTAACGACAAAAACACCAATGTAACTTGTACAATCATGTCTATTCACAAATATTGTTTCAGTGCACGGATTGCCTTGTGTGTCCTAGCCGCTGCATCCAGCTTTATCATTGTGTCTTTGGTTCACCTGGTGGCCCTCAGCCTCATGGGTAAGATTCATCATTTCATGATGTGCTTTAGAAAATGACAGTATCACTCTCTCTCTTCATGAACTAGTGCATGCCTGTACATTCAGTGAATGCATGACTTTTGTGTTACTGGTTTATGCCCCACCACAACCCCTTCCCATGGAAAAACAAAAAAGAAGAAGAAACAAAACCTTAAAAGAGAAAAAATGATAGCCGTGGGAACTGTCAAGTTGTCGTCGTATGAGTCAGGCCTGACCCTTAGTGGCCCATGAGGTGAAACTTTTCCAATGCAGTCTTGTGTTTCTCAAGGGAAGTTGGTAGAGAGACAAGCCAGTGCTATCCTTAACCCATCTGTCAATAGGTCGCTCCTTCCTGCATGTTGAGAGACAAGCCAGTGCTATCCTTAACCCATCTGTCAATCAATAGGTCGCTCCTTCCTGCATGTTGAGAGACAAGCCAGTGCTATCCTTAACCCATCTGTCAATAGGTCGCTCCTTCCTGCATGTTTAGTTCCCTGAACGATAAATCATTTCAAAGGTTACCTCCCTGTCATCTGCTAACGTGACCGAAGCATTGACACTTATGTTGGAAGATTCTTTCTAAGAAAGAGCACCAAATGCTTAAATAAAGAAGTGCCTAAATGCCTTTCTGCCGTGCACATAACGACATATGTACTGTGGAGACCCACCCCGGTGTCCCGTGGAGTATATGTGTAGATTTGATCTCACTTTGGCACTCCGAGTGCGCCTGAAGAAAGAAGACTCTCCCTTATGTCATATTTTTTGTTCTCCATTCTAGGAGTTGTCTTTGCCAGTGTGTCTGCAGGACTTGGTGAATTTACATTTGTCAGTCTGATGTCATTTTATGACAAGTAAGAAAGTGTCCAAGTAGTCGTTGCTCAGTTTACCAAAGAATGTGCTTTCAAAGTGTTTGCGTAGCAACAGCCATGGTCCTGTTGCTGTTTTACATGTATTTCTTTTCTAATTTAATTTTGAAAACAAAGCAGTTGATTTTCAGAAAAACCAACGACAGTGAACCTTTTTATACTCATGAAATGTGTAGAAAGGAGACAACAAAATTTAAAGAAAAGTTACAATAATTTGGCAGGATTGCTGATGTTGTTCTGGTTGGGATTGCAACCCAAGGCATAGAGATGTTGGATGTTGGAATAGTGTTCTCCAACCTGCTATAGAATTACAAGTTGCCTGGTTGCCCACCAAGTAGCCTGGTTGCCCACCAAGTAGCCTGGTTGCCCACCAAATAGCCTGGTTGCCCACCAAGTAGCCTGCTTGTCTCCCACCATGTTTCAAATGTAGCCACCAAGTTTTGAGGATCAGCTGTCAAGTTTTGAGATTTTTGGTGCTGTATTTTCATTCTGGTAAATGTTAACTTACCCAGCATTATTCTTGATAAAAGAAAGCCATCTGTGAATGTTTATGATGATTGCTGCTACACTCCAAAGACAGGAAAGATGTTAAGAAATGCACTAAATATCTGAAAAGGTCTTGAAGTGAGCCGTAGACCCTGCTGTCATTTCAGCATTTTTGTCAGTCCCCACCAAGTTAAAAAAATATAACTAGGAGAAACAACGCAGAAGTACCACAGTATTGGTGTACTGGTTACACTGGGCTGGAATGATTTTAAATGGACGATGTGTTGTTTTTTTCAGGAATGTTGTTTCAACATGGTCATCGGGTACCGGCGCTGCTGGTTTGATCGGTGCCCTGTCCTACGCTGGTTTGACAGAAGTGCTGACTCCGAGAAATGCCTTACTAGTCATGCTAGTTGTACCTGTTGCCATGGCAATCAGGTAAAGATGAAGTTTCAAGCCCCAATTGTGTGTACAGTTGAAGGTGTTTAAAACAACTCCGTCGTACTCACATTCAGGTTTTGAGATTGGAGTTTGCCCATAGATGCTGTCATATGGTTTCACAATTTTTTCAGGGGTGTGAAAATTCACATGTTGACCCTGAATTTCGGCTTTTTTGTACACCTGGTCTGTACAAAAGTATGGGAAATTTTACATTTCAGCTTTTTGCTTGCTGTTTTCAGCTTTGATTTGAAGTGGCCACTCACACTCCTGTTGTTTGCCTTTTTATGAAATTTGTTCAGTACAGTCACACTAGAACAACAGTTAAACGTAAGTATTTATGATTCTTTTTAAAGTTACTGGGGTATTCTGGTGCGAGTTCCAACATCAAAACCACTTCAGGACGACCAACCAGTAGATGAGGCAAGGAGACGATTGCTAGAATGTGACTCGATGGAAGATGCAAACAAAGATACGCAGACACCCTCACAGGAGCATCTCACACTCAAAGAGCGACTCTTCCATATCAAAGTAAGTTCGGTTCTGAGGCACAGGTAATTTCTCCAGCTAGTAATTGGGAACTGAAGCTTTGCCGGAAGTCCTTGCTGTCATTACCAGCAGATGCAAGGGAGGGCTGAGGCTCAGGCACTGCTCAGTACATACATGTACCTGTACATGTACGTGGCGGCAGGGGCTCAGCTCTTTTGCTCAAGAGAACAAGTTCTTATTTCTCACTTTTAGGGGCATGGTTTACATGCCCCTGAATTTTTTTTTGGTCCGTTGGTGTTTTAGTATAAGTTAGTTGGCTTTGTTGTGATGTTTATCTCTGTGACTTTCAGGTTTTTTTGAGATCTTCTGACTCAACTTTTTAATTCCATAATGCCAGTTTCTATTTGCCATTAATTTAGAGAATTTTATGTCTCCACCTATCTTGCAGCATCTTCTGAAGTACATGATCCCTCTGATGCTAGTGTATTTTGCAGAATATTTCATCAACCAGGGCTTGGTAAGTCAACGGCAGTCCACAGAAATTGGTTCAGTAAAGTTGACACTTGTCGCAAAATTTTTATAGCATGATTGAAGGAAAAATCAACAGTTGCCGTTGTTGTCTGATTGAAGTAAGGAATATTTTTGTTATCACAGTTTCAAATATAACCCATTAGATACTTACACCGGTTGTGTGCAACTGAAATTTACCAACTTTTGTAATAATCTACAAGTTTTGTCAGTATTCATGGTTTTAAGCAGCCTGTAAGTTAGATTATTCCGTTGGTGTATTTTTACAGCACCTTAAAACCACAAACCCATGCGAGCATACTTCCTGTTTGATTCTTCTACTGCATCATCAATTTAAATGTGGAACACTGAAGCAAAATAAAATAAGTGTTGGGAACTTATGTCAGCAACAAGCTTCCTGTATGTCACTTTCACTTTTTAACAACCTGTCACGATATTTTTTTTATCTTACTAGGATTTCAGATTTCGTTCGTCTTCCATTTCCTATTATTTCCTCCATTGTTAACATTTTGTACTGTAGTCGTTATGCTTTGGGGGTCTGCAGGGAACGTTGTCCAACTTTTCTCTGAGGTCTGATATCATGCCCTAAAAGTCAAGAGATAAAACTTTGATCATAAAGAGCAACTGAAGGCTGAAGTTGGAATTGGGGAGAGAAAGAGATCCCATGAAACAACCGAAACCTGTGTCAGAAGTCAATTGGGGTTAGACAATTTGGGGAACTTGAAACATGAAAAGTCCTGAAGTTGTTGTTTTAATGATAAAATTGACAAACAAAGTCTGATCATATAGAATTCCGTAGGTTGGGATTATTTGTGGAAAGTGCGGTTTGCTGATTCGAAATCATGTGTCACCAAAAATAACTCCACTGTGCCTTGGCAGTTAATTCTGTGTGTTGCAACCTCCAACAACACAACTTAGCCAAGCCAAGCATAATGTGTATGCGTACTTGCCTGCAGATGAGCTGACTTTTGAATGAAGTGTAATATGATCTACTTATTGGGCTCATCTGGTTCAATATGAGATGTGCCCGCGATGAGACTTTTCCCTTTTCTTTCTTCCCTCGGGTGGCACAGCTTGAGTTAATTTTCTTCCAAGGAATTTGGTTGGATCACCAGGGCCAGTACAGATGGTATGGAGCATTGATTATTTTTGATTATGGAGCATTGATTATAATTGATTACTCAATAATTAGTTGATGTGATCAATCATTGTAATTTGGACATGGATTGTGAGAGATTGATTCTTGGGTCATTAAAGTCTCTAATGATGGCAAATCTTATCTTTTTGTAAATTCATAGACGTTTTTAATTCCAAACCACTAAAAAGGTCCTTTGTCACTCAGAATTTCCTTATTTTCTTCTGTCCCTGTTGCATGCTTGAAAGAGAAGTAGAACTTGAACTACCAGTAGTGAATAAACATTCCTCTGGTTTACCATCAGGTTTCAGGTTTTGTACCAACTGGGTGTCTTCATCTCTAGGTCATCAGTTAACTTTGTCAAGTTCAAACGGCTTTGGATCTTTTCAATTCTACAGGTAAGGTGGAATTCCAACCCACTTCATACCATACCAGTATTTATTTCAGGGCTGACGGTAGAGCCAATGATTTTCCATTTCAACAATGGTTATTTTCCGTTTCGCCAAATCCTGAATTCCGCTTCAGAAATTCAACTTCCATTTCATACCTTAGCATGAAAAAGGAGAGCAAGTTTTAAACTGCATGAAAACCATCTGCCCAACCACATCACCCCCCCCAATGAGAAAAAGAAAAGAAAGAAACATTGTTTAGAAATACTTTGAAAGGTTTTAATTTTTTAATAAATTTTCTGTAGTGAAAATTTAAAATAATCCACACAGTAGGCCTAAATACAGCAACCCCGCCTCTTGATTTCCTGATGGAGTGATCGTTAAAAAACGTACTACGATTAATCAATGGGAAATTCATGTTTCACTCCGCATGTATAAAATCAAATTACATTTAAATACATGTACAGTGAAGTCATAGAGTAGGTCTTGCATGCAACGGTCTTTGATCACAATATATTGACCCGCCATTTTTATTTGGCAGTGGTGTGACAAAATTCAGAAAGTTAACGTTAAATCTGAGCTTTAAAATGCATGGTTGTAACTGAAAACTTCGCTCTTTATGAAACACTTCCGAGGACCCATTCAGTTATGGTATACCGAGCTTCGTAGGTTTCGTTTAATTCAAGAAAATATGTAATTAGTCTTCTGTTTTGCTGCCACGGTTTTCATCGTTTCAATGTGCGGTAGTAGCCCTATCTCAAGGTGTCTCTGTGGATTCACAGACTGAATTCCCTACGTGTGCATTAAGTGTATGTGCGAGTATGAACTTGTTTGCGCCATGATTTGGACTGCAAAAAGGTTCAATGGACTTACTTATGCATGCAACTAGTCCTCTTCAACTGTTGCCCATTTCATTGGAAGTAAACACCTGACCTCTGTTGCTGTTGTTATTTTAACAAATTAAAACTTAACTTCACACTGAATCAGTATTGAAAGAAGAACAAAAGGTTTCCTACACCTGTAATACCTACCCTGTCTTTAGATGCTTGTAAATAGGAAGCTAAAGTTTTTTATGCCCAGTTGGATAAAGGTTAAAGGTTAAGCCTGATCAACACAGCAGTACATGTATATAAGCCAGTCACAAGGGCTTTCCATAGAGACAGTGAATTCCTCCAGCCTGTTTTCCTCATGACTTGCTTGAGTGGCTTGTCATCCTTTGTCCATCTCTCCCTACCAGTGGTGTGTCCTGGTGTTGATGTTCACCGTTGCCTACTACGCCTACATGCCCAGCATAGCCATCGTCTTTGCCATCATCTTGTTTGAGGGGCTTCTTGGAGGAGCGGCGTACGTCAACACTTTCTATCAAATCAGACAAAATGTGAGTCATTTGAGGTTCAGATACTGTTGTATTTTTTTGTTGCCGATACGTGTACTTGTGTAATTCGCTGTTTCACAAAGCTGCAAAACACTATTGGATTTTTGGTAGTATCCACACTATAGAGGGATCCCAATACGACGCTTTTAGCGTCGATCTGCACACTTCCGCGTTAATTCTTAATGTGATTAGACAATTGAAAGTAAGGAGTCAAGAACCAAAATACATAAAGGTTTAATAAATTCAGACTTTGCACGCTGAAAATTTTTGTGGAAGTGTCTTTCAGGATGATTCGACACGTAAAATCCAAAGAAAAATAGCGACAATTGACCGCGAACTAACGTACCTGCGATGGTCATGTTTCTTGTGCAGTGGGCGTGGTTTAAACTGAAGTGGCGTCACACTTACGAACCGGATACTCCATGTACTGTGTGGACTCCGCGGGCGCGCGCGATGAAGTTCAACACAGAGAGCCTCGGTTTCGATGCAGATATGCGCAGACGGCGCTAATGTGAAATCTCTCTATTATATATCTGTTGTTCCATGTTGTTGTACTTACCAAAATCAACTACAGCCTGCATGTTTTGCATCACTGAGGCTGTTATGTTAGCCAGTCGGATTTTCTTACCTGAGCAAGCTGCAGGGGGTGGGTTTTTTCCTGCAAATTCTTCAACCTCGCAATTGTGCTTTGGCCCAACCCAGCACGACACATTAATACTTCAACCCCGCAATGAAAAAAGAACTCTTAAACTAGTGTACACGTCCTCCGTGGAACAAATAAGGAAAATTGTGTTTGTTTACACGTCACCCGGCGTCAAGTGGTTAATATTCTAAACTTCTTTGACTTTTTCTCTTTGTGTTTAACAGGAGAGCCCCAAGTACAAAGAGTTTGCCATGGGAACGACCACTGTTGCGGAGTCATGCGGTACCTCACTGGCTGGAGCTGCTGCGTTGCCTGTCCATAATGCACTGTGTCGTTTGTAATGCATCTGGTATTGTTTGTTAGTTTCCAGAGCGTTCAGATGTAACTGGCGGTCTTCTTCCCTCTTTGGGTTCTTTACTTTTGCCTTAATTTTGCGATCATGACGGCTAAGCTGAATCATGGGGAATGTGGATTAGTTAGTCTAGACTGCAGTCTGTACCAACGGCCTTTGCATTCCTTGCAACGCCTGCGTGGTCCCTGCAACTCAGGAACAATGTTATTTTTTAATAATAGGTTTTGCCCTTGCAATATTCTTTGCATAAACATGTGACCCACTCTGTGAAAATGAGTCACATGTCCTCAGAGCCACTTTAAGTTAAAGGCCTTTGAAAGAATCTGGCTCAGTGTTTAAGCAATAGGAATCCTCAACATTTTAACATCGACACAACGTCCATTTTCATTGTATCAAACTGAGTGATGACACATCAACAGAAAGAGCTCAAATGCGTCAATCTGATACAGAGTAAAACTCGAAAGTGGCTCAGATGACTTGTGACTCATTTTCACACAGTGAGTCACACGCATGTGCCCTCGGGACCTGTGATTATGATAGCCCCAATCTTTGGAATTAACGCCTTCAGAGTAGTTGTCTGGTATGTGCCCAGCGGTGTGAAACAGTTGCGTATGTGTCATGTATGTGCCCATTTGTTGAAGTGCACCTGTACCCTCGCCAGCAAAGAAGAGACAGGCTGATGGGAGATGTTTGTTCCAACTGGGCTTGTGTACATGCAGAGGAACACATACGAAGAACAAACAGAAATTGGTCGTGCATGCTTGGCAGCGAACTCCCATGAACTCAGAGTGTGTTTGTGGCGAGTGTCAACCAAAGGGTGATCATTGTCCCGCCAAGACACACCCTCTTGTCTTGTACCCACTCCAAGTGGATTAGCCCAAGGCATCACACATACAGTGATTTTTCTCACACATCTTGAGAGATAAGTGCTCATGCCCTACCTGTGCCTTTGCACCATTTTTGTTTCAGCAAGGCCTATCTTTGACTTTGTGACTTTTTAGCAGAGCAGTTTGATTTGTCAAACTATCACGGGTATATATGTAGCGTGCCACACTTGGGCCTGTTTTGTATCGAATCTTGGCTTCGTCTCTGCCTTGGCATCATTTCAAGCTCTGCGACATTTAGTGTTTGAAACAAAGGAAAATTCTCGTAACGGTGGCTTCATAAAGGCTGGTTTTAAGCGGGGGATTTCTGCCGAGGAAAATGGAACTGCAGTGAGAGTGGGTCTTTTCAGTTTCAGGAAACGGAAGAGCAAAAGCCCAAATGTAGAGGATGGTTAGATTTAGGGGTGCCCCCATCAACTGTTGTGCAAACTTCAATTGGGGGCAGTCCAGAATATTACTTACTGTCATTTATGAATTTAATAACGCCCCTCGATGTACATTTAATTTTAAAATATTTCTTATTCTGTACGATGCTACAACAATATATGGAACAAAAATTGTTTATATTACAGTTCTGAAATTTATACTTCCTTGTGGAATTTAGTCGTCATAATTATGTAATCGTGGTGAAAATGATGTCTGTGTCTTTATTTTGTTCATTGGGTTAATGCTGCCCTTGTCATTGCTCAATTTTGGAGTCCATTTTGTGTGCTTCCCGAGAAATTTCCAAGTGTAAACTTTTTTATTGCCAAATATTATAGTTACAAAAATGTATGAACTAGATCTCCGGGGCTAAAGGTTTGGAAGATGTAATGTTTTGTAATAAAATGTCCCACGATAGTGAGGCTTTTCTCGAGTTAAAAAAAAGTACTTATTATTTCTGGTGATACTATATAACTTTTTTATTTTAAACAGTTGTGCAAGGAGATTGTCCTGAGAAAATTACATTTCTTATTTAGCTTCAGCAATGGAACTTTGTAACCATTTCTTTTGCCTTCAAACATAATATACTGCTTCGTTATTTTTTCTAATTACTAGCAAAATAGCTAGATGTGGTGTAATTTTTTATAGCTTAGAGAGTAGACCTATAGTTAGCACTTACCACAGGAGCCCAGAGTTCGGCACTTTTATCAGTTGAATTACACTTGGTTTATTCCATACAGCCCTGATAGAAAGAAAGGCACAATGGATTTTGGGCCGTGACGGCCTTTTATACATTTAGCGCTTTGCTGCACAACAGAACTATATTCGCAACACTGAAAAGAGTTATTTATCATGGGGAAAAAGACAACCTAATAATGGCATTAGTTACTACCAGTGTCAGTATGCAGGAAAATATCCACCTGTAGAGAAAGTTCTGGGAAATTCTGGCAATTTATCAAATAAGAACATTTCTTGAGAAATTTAACAAAAATAAGTGGAAGGTAAGTGGAAGTGGAATAAGTGGAAGTTTGGGGAAATTGCTACATTTGCCTCTATTCCCCCAAATTCCTGGCTTACAAAAAAAGGAAAGAAAAGCGCTTGGCCCAAGAGGTCACGTTTAGTGCCTTTACAGAAATCCTGTTCCGTGTATATCCGTTGTACACAGCTCGACCTGAATTGATTGTGAACGTGTGAATGAACATGGACGACACAGTTGATCAGTCGCCAAGCCTGGCCGAGAAGGGTTGCAAGAGAGCACTGGTCAGAAATTTAATAGCTTTTTGGTAAGTGTTTGCTATTGTGACCTCTTGATCCTATGATAAAGTTACAAAATCATTTGCTCGACTCCTCATTTTCCTCGGGTTTGGCTTTCCAACTGGTCAAATGCATGCATGGATATGTTTTTGTTTGTTTTGTGTTTTTAATAAAATGCAGGCTTAGTTTTTCGGTGGGGTGTAGGCCTTTGTACTGATGACGTCACACTGCGTACATGTGCACTCTGCTACCAAACCAAGCATCCGAGTGGGGTCCACAGTCCTATACATTTCGAACTGGATGCCCTGCCTTAACTCGTGGGCATAAATCCCAGGGGATGTGGGGCGGGGGGGGAGGTATTATTGTCGCATTTTCGTGGTAGGAAAAATAATCAAGGCAGATTGTGAAGAATTTTATGGAATTCTAAGCAACCAAAATGTATTATGAATGGCACTCAAAAAGGACGAAAAATCGAAAAAAAAACCATAAATATGCCTTTCTGTAAGATTCTGCTGGACTGTAATACATATCATAGATGTACTTGTAGGCTACATCTGTATGAACATCGACCCCTAGTGTCATGTGGTGCCAGCACTCCTCCCCCCTTCCCCGCTGTTCAAATTTCCATCACCAGGCAAGTCATCCTCCCAAAATCCCCCGTCCTCCGACCCCCCCCCCATTTCGGCACAATTGATTCCACTGCCATAACCTTATATTAGCCCCCCCCAAAAAAAGTGTTCTCAGTGTTGGCCGAAGGCTTGACGGACTCGCACCGTCGACCTACTTTCACGTATACTTACCGGTAGGGGCCTACTTGCAGCAAAATTAACCTATTCCACCTCTGAGATTTAGCCGTTGGTAACCGACTTCAGACAAAACCCTTTATTTCTTCGATGTCTCTGGTTTCGTCCCTGGCTTCAATTTCGGTAACGCCGGGCTACTGCGCCGTGCCGAACTCAAATATTTGTGAGTTATTTATAAATATTTGTAAGTTTTCAGTTTTTGTAACTTCGGAACGGTCGTAGAACGGCGTCTAGCGCAATTCGGCTTGGTAAATTGAATTCGGCACAGCTGTAAGCCCATTAAGCTCGACAGGGTATTATGTGCTGTCGCCACAGTAGAACGAGACTGCTCTAGTTTGACGTTCAGCGCAACTGCCGCGCTATTGTCGCACTCACTCGGCATGGCAGCAGTAAGGCGTCTAGCCTTGGTCTTAAAGCTCCTTGTTCACATCAGTTTGTAGAAGATCGGAGAGACTGGGATCAGTCTGACAAACCAACAACGGACTTATTGTTTGGATTTTATCATTTGTTTCCCCTTTGTTTGCAGGCTTCTTGGTCTGTGCAATAATTACAGCTTCTATGTCATGCTCAGTGCTGCGTACGATATTCTCAAGAAACAACCTGATGCAACTGTAAGTCGTTGATTAATGTACTTGGTCGGTTGAATACGACAGTGGTCGTAATAAGAAAAATAACCCGAGTAAAGTAAGGACTACCAGTGATATTCTGTATGTGTGATAACAATGATTATGTATACTGATCGTTACCCTGGCGATGAAGATGGTGCCATGGTGACGATTATTGTTAGTGTCCACCATGAAGATTATAGAAATGTAGTTACGGCTATAATGACGTCAAAATGACACTTGGTTTCGACACCAAATCTGAATGCTGTTACAACACTGTCAGACACTAGACACTGGGACCGAGGGGATGAACATATAGGACTTCACCTCAAACAAAACAACCATTGACGATTTTGCCTGATTTACCTTTAACCAGTGGCTTTACCCTTGACCCTAGAATGTAGACCCGCCAGATATGTTCAACCTAACTAACAGTACCGAAGTATCAAGGTTTGACTGCAGTTCCGTGTCTACCGGGGTAAAGCACCTTTTAACTTTACAATAATGATGTGCTTTTTTCATAATTTGCAAAAAACAACATTTCATCAAACTTACATGGTAATCTGATAAATTATTGGACGTGATCGACCTCTTCACGATATACCAATTTATCCATCCCTCAAAATGAAGCATTTTTTCGCAGTGGCCAGATACCAATTAAAGAAACTGATGTGGCCCCTCTACGCCTCCGTACTTTGATAAAAATTTTAACTGTAGAACTGTCTTTACTAAGAATACTTATACCATTCGTTCCTTCTTGTCATTACAGGCTGTATTGCTGGCAGACATTCTACCGCAGTTGGTAATCGATGTAGCTGCCCCATGGTTTGCTGATTACATACCATACGGGTGAGTATAATGTTTTCAAATAATTCTTAATGAGGCTTTTTAGTTTGGCCAAAAAATTAGCCCAAATCATGGTCACAAACTGGCAATGCTTGACATGAGAAACAAAACTGGAAAGCAGAACCCAATGCGATTACTTTGGTCTTTGCGAGAAGCAGTGTAGGCGGAATTAAAATCAAGTTACCGGCAAGTTGTACCAATTAAGATCATGCGTGGGACTTGCTGCTTTTGCACTATATGAAGCATGGGCCAAATGTCGTGCCTGCGGAGAACATGAAATTTGGATAAAAACTCCTCAGCTGCAAAGCAAGAGGTTTCCAAAAACTTCTTAATTAGACAAAAGCGGTCCGGTTGGTTGGACACCGCAATACAGCCCCACAAATCTATGCGACAAGGAAGCCACTATTAATTCGTTTTCACAAACAACTTGATGTCTGCGACTTTTATTCCATTTCTTTCTTACTGGGCACCGGGTGAGCTCAAAACGCCAGATTTCTTCTTCAGTAATTCTGTTTAGTTACAGCATGTGTTGTGATCAACTAACCTAAGACAAATCTTGTGGAGACAAAACATTCAGTTTTGTGACCTGTTGTATTTGCCAAAGTTTTTACGTCTGCGAATAAACCTGGTTGAAAGTCCACATGTTTTTGCATGTCCGTTTGGGAAGTCATGACGAAAACTGATTATGAAGGGAATAGTAAAAATTACCAGAGATAACGGCGAAAACCAGTCAAAGTACTGCGTGAAATGGTAGCAGCACTGTACCTTGGCTTGAACTATTGAGGACATTTCAGGGAGTTTCTTTCAGTGCCTTTTTACACTCCCACTTTTGGGACCAACAAATTCAGTGATCAGTTCGGAATTATACTGTATTATGTTGTTTTTGTACACTTGTAAAGTGACAGAATTGAACAACAAAGTCAGTTAGAGATGACGGCTTTATGTTGGCTTTGTGACCTTTGTTAAAACTTCGATCCACGTTTTGTGGGTTTCTAATTGAAGGATATGCCTTAAGTACGTTTGTGTGTTTTTTATTTTAGTCTTCGAGTTGCCATATGTGTCGCTACAGCTGCATCCAGTTTTCTCCTTGTGGCTTTGATTGGCGCTCGAATGGTTGCTATTGGGCTGATCGGTGAGCATGGGCATCACGTGGGTGGGGGAGGAGGCATCTCTCCCTAAAAAATCGAAGATAAAACCAAAAACAGAGGAGAAAAAATGAGAAGAGAAAACCACAGAGAGGAAAAGGAAAGGAACATTACTAATTTGCTTGGAAACGTCTCAAAATTGACTCCCTCTGCTCGCTATCAACTTTTTATTTTATTTTAGCTGATGAGTGCTGTGCCCTTCTCTCTCTGGAAAACCTTTAAGAAAAAGTAGTTTGCCTTACCCCGGAAAAAACTCCTAGCGGAACTAAGGTCGGTGAGATAAAAATTTCTCTGGACACAGCTCTTTATACTGTTGCTGGTTTAATTTTTCTAGGGAGGCTTGAAAGCTCTGGATTTATACGATTCAACATTTTATGAAAGGAAAATCCTAGAGAGTTTTACCTGTTGAAGTGTGGAAGTTGAAAAATAAGGCCGGAAAGGCGATAGTTATGACTACTTCATCCCCCTTCTTTCTAACAAAATACAAATTGATAAATTCTCGTACGTTTATGTTTCGTTTTCAGGAGTTGTCCTGGCTGGTATATCCGCGGGTCTTGGTGAATTCACCTACCTTAGTTTCATGGCATTTCATGACAAGTAAGTGACTATTTCAAATTCCAATGTTTCAAGAGTTGTACAAACAATGTCACCCTTGGTTGGTGTCAGATTTTACCTCAATTTGTATACGTGTCCAGTTTCATGTGGTATTTAGTGGTGGTTTTTTTGTACACACTGTTTGGTTTTTTAACACCTGCTCAACTATACTGCTTTTTTGTACTGACGGTCAGCCGTAGGCTAGACTTGGCTTAAGTCGGGATCTCTGTGACGTCTTTGTTTCTGCTTGTATCGAGCCCGAGCGCCGTTACTTGCTTCAATAGTGCCCTCTTGTGTTCGCTTATTAATATGAGTTCAGTTCAGAAATCCTGGGCTGAGTTCGGACGGCTTGTTCTTGTATGTTTATAGCTTGATTTCTTGTTCTTGGGACAGCCGCTCGAACGCCAGGAACATACAACTGGTTGTCGCTGATAGTTAGTGACAAGCAACATTCAATATGGCGGCGTCCATGTACATTATTCGAGAGTTAATGTTTGGATAACTAGGCTGAATTCTTTTTTATTTAAACAGGAACATTTATTTTTGTGTCACAGAAAAATATCGATGTTAATTTTGCAAACTGTTCTCTAGCTTTGTAAGCCATCTCTCTACTTTTTGCAGCTGTTCAAAAATCAAAACCTCACGATTTTTTCCGTGTGTTCCTGTAAAACCCTGACGAGGAGGTGGTGTGTGATCCTGTTCCGAGAACAATTGAGTCGTGTTCCCGCCGTTGGAGCGCGAGAACAAGAAACCGGTGTCAAGAACAGGCCGCCCGAACTCGACCCTGACTTTAAGAATCTGTCAACCGTTTGTTCACAGCGAATGGGCTCATCTACCAAAAGTGGTAGCAGCCAATCACATTGCCGGACTTGTTTTTACGTCGTTCATACCTGCATTATAATGAACGAGTCTACAAATCTGGCTTCTTTGATTGGTGGAAATTATGTCGTTCATAGGCAATTATGAAAACTACATACTACCAACGGGGGGGGGTCCGATTGGTATATCTGTCAAGTCGGCCTTACTGACACTTGACTTATGACACACGTTGAACAAAGAATGATGTCAATGAGGGCGCCTTATAAGGGTTATGCGAGTTGCCAGGCCGAGCACGACGACCGTGTAGTGCAGTGCGTACCGGCTGAAGGGATAGCTGACTAAGGAAGAGCAACGTAAGTCCGACTTGATTCAAGTGTAGGCCGAGCCCAACGACCGTGTAGTGCGTACCAGCTGCAGAGATGGCTCACTAGGGAAGAGCAACGTAACTTCGACTTGATTCAAGTTTAGTCGTAGGCAAAATTTATGTAGATTCCACTGGGATGTGGATTATAAAATGTGAATGAAGCATTGTTTGTTAATTTATTTACTTGTGAGAGCGACACTGCCTCATGTGTTGGATTGAAAGTCCAGAATAATTGCGGTTAGTGCCATTGGTCTGTTAGGAATTCAGTGTCTACCTGGTCATCGGGCACTGGTGCCTCTGGACTGGTCAGTAGCCTGACTTACGCCGGGCTGGCAGAGGTGCTAGGTCCTGAGAAGTCACTGCTCGTGATGGTGGTGGTGCCAGCAATAACCATTGTCAGGTAAAGGCTTGGAAAGAGATGCAGATTCCTCCTTTTAATAAGGAATAATTGGTTGAAAGGTCGGCCATCATGATTATAGCCTATTTGCGAACTAGAATGCTGAACTTTTCAATTATTGAGAGGCCAAGAAAAATAAAGTGAAGTCTAAGAAGGAGTAACAAACCTTTGTCAGCTTTTTCAAGTCGTTTAAACTCAAAGCAATTGTTCTTGGACAACACATCTACATATACAGAGTTAAATAAAACAAACTTTAACATGAAAATGGCTATAGAACTGAAAAACGACAGAAGAAACCTGCCGTGGCTGAAGATGCAGATTGTGGGAGAAACTAACGCGGTTTCATTTGCAGTTACTGGGGTGTTTTAGTCAGGGTCCCCATAAAAAGACCCATTGTACATGACGATAACTTGAATCACGAGGAGAGACAAAGACTGGTGGGGAATGGTTCAGTAGAGAGTGCTGATCAAGAGGTCGGGATCTCCAAGAGGCAGCATCTAACTTTGGCAGAGAGACGACACCACCTCAAGGTATGTGAGAGGAAGAAATTAAAAACGAAGTCACTATTACGAGTTATCGTCTATGAAAGCCGCATTGTTCACATTACTTCGAAAAACCTGGTTCTTTGGGAACAAGCTTTCTAAATCTGGTCTGTAATATACGAAAGCCCGTTAGTGCCACCGCTATTTTATTTTCCAGAGCAGCCATTTATATTTTCAGGAACTTTACAAATTAACAAGATTGTGGTCGCGGGCGCTGGTTTATTCTACGAACAATGACAACAGCTGGCCTACAGCCGAATGGCCGCAGCTCTAGAGATCATCACCGCTTCAACAAAGCCATAGGATGTGCAAGTCTCTTTTCAGTAACTTTTCCACTGAGCAGCTATTTTTATTTTCGGAGCATTTATTTATATTTTTGTAAGCAGCTATTTTTGTTTTCGTCAGCAGTTATTTTTATAATATATTTTGAAAAATAAATAGTTACGAAAAAAAAAGCTGCTTCTAAAAATATAAATAACTGCTGTAAAAAAACCCACCAATGGCACTAACGGGACTTTGTAGTAATAAAATACTATATGCAGCCAATTCTCTTACTTTACCCTACAGTATCTGCTGAAGTACATAATCCCATTGATGTTGGTGTACGTAGCTCAGTATTTCACCAATCAAGGGCTGGTGAGTATTAAACTGTACGGGACAACCTCAAACCTGTGGCTGCGTCCGAGTCACTTGACTTCGGCTTGAAATTACACGTCACGACTTAATTTGAATCGGCTACGGCCACAGCCGTAGACTCGTGTGTGATTTCTATCTAGTCGCAGCCAAGTAATTCGGACACGGCCTACAATCTAATTGCAGTCGGTGCTCTAATTTTTCTCCTATTTCTTGGTTCAGTTTATTGCTGTGTTTTCTCTTACAGTCCAGGTTATGTAAGTTTATGTTACTGTTTATAAAATCCGGACAAAAACAATACGGAATACGGAAGCTGGATAGTGTCAAGGGATTGCATGCAAACTTCCTTTTTTAAACAGCCCGTGTTCATATTTTTTACACCATTATCCAGTGGCCGCCACTTATTATCTAACGTTTGCCAGAAAATTATGTGGCGGCCGCCAGATAAGAAGTGGACAGCACCCTTTATCCAATCGGCGTGTTTTGACGTAACGAGCATTCGAGAAAAACAATGGTGTCCCTTTATAGGCCTACATTGCGTGAAACAGAAATCAGGGCCAGCGTGATAGACAGGGGTGTTGCACGGGGGACACATCGGGGGAGGGGGACAAATTTACCTTTGGGTAGGGGGACAAAATTACCTGGAAGGGTAATGGTGAGTGTCCGGGGGACATATATACCAGGGGGAAGGGACAGTTTTACCGTTCACACCCCCACTAAACTGGCGGCCGACACTTAATAAGTGGCAGCCGACAGATGATTGTGTAACAAAAAAAAGTACACGCGCGGTTCAAAAAAAGTGCACATTCTATCCCTAGGCACTATCCGGCTTCCGCAAATAATGTTATCTAGTTCTTAGTTGATAACTTTCCTGCTTGGGAACTTGAATGGATTTGGGTTGAGGTATACCACACAAGTCAAAGAATGCTTGTTTTGAACGGTTGGAATTTAAAACAAATCGCCCATATTAGACATTTCAGTTCATGCCATCCTTATTCCATCTTGCGATAGCTGGAGCTGATATATTTCAAAGGGACTTGGATGTCACATGACAGTCAGTACAGATGGTAAGATAGTTTCTTATAGTAATAAATCAAACTTGATTAATTAAAATGGCAAATAATACCAGAGCAGTGGGATGATACCAGAATCTTATTTGATTGAAACCCAATCTAAACACGATGGTCCAATTATCATTCCTTCGTTGGAGTTCTCTCCAAACGAACAAATGATAATGTTCGAATTCCTATTTAATAGACCTGCAAAACGGCGTGGGAAATACAACTCGCCGAACTCAGCCAACTTGACCAAGGTTTTGCTGTAAGTTTCAGATGCAGATTTCAGCAAAAGGACATCAGGACAATAAAATGGCAGCCTGCTACATGGTACACGTACAAAGCCGCCTGGAACAGCATTCAATTCTCAAGAGTCATGAACAAACTGTTTGCAGGAATAATGGAGAATCTGTGGATTTTTTCCTTCTAGAGAAACTACCATTGTTTGTTTTCACACCATTGTTTGTATAAACGGATCTGCAGGGTGTTTTTTGTTGTCTTTTTTATTGTCACATTGTCAGGCTGCAGGTTCTTTTCAGATTAGGAATGTTCTTCTCGCGTTCGTCGGTTAACATCGTCAGGTTCAAACGGCTCTGGATTTTTTCCATTTTACAGGTGAGCTCTTCCTGTCCAATCAGTCTCTGATCTTTCAGTGATAAATTTCAATGTCCAAAACCAATTTCTTATCACTTTTCCATTCTTAGTTGAAGGAAGTTTTGTATGACCGAAATGTGCAATTGAATATTGACGTTTAGGAATTAGACGCGTACGTTTAGCTTGTGGTCATGTTCACAAAATGACTAATCGCAAGATTGCGGCTCGGTATTTTTTGGTGATACATTATTATTTGAAGATTATTATTTGAATTTTACAAAATGGCGTTGACTGTGGTGCAGTGGTGTGTATTGGTCTTGGTGTTCACCGAAGTCTACTTCACCTACATGCCAAGTATCGCCATCATCTTTGCCATCATCTTTTGCGAAGGGTTGATAGGTGGATCGGCCTACGTCAACACCTTTCACCAGATCAGAGTCAAAGTGAGTCGGGGAGAGTGACCATGGGGAGGATCAAAATAAGTGGCGATCACTAAAGAAATTCGTAACTCTCAAATTGTATGGCTGACATTTAATGAATTAATGACCGATTCAACAGTGTTAGGGGATTAACTATCACTACTGATATTAGGAACACGTCTAAATCAGTGCTTAAAGTCATTGCCAAAATGGTGTCAAGAGCAAATCCGGAACCAATTTTATTTGAATGGGGGACTTTTTTTTGGGGGGGGGAAGAACCGAAAATTCCTTTATCTGACCGATCCCTGGATCAACCAGTGATTTGCAGACGTAGGCCTAAGTTGTATAGTACTAGCACAAATGAAAAAGTTTAGTTTTTTCTTTACTCTGCACACTCTGTGTGGATTTTAGGGGAGGACTATTTCAACGAACCATATAGGTTTACGTTGACGCCTGTGGGAGATTGCCTAGTTCAATGTTGGAGATTTTACAGTCTGTTTCTTTCCCTCTTCCTTCGGCAGGAAAGACTCAAATACAAGGAGTTCGCTATGGGAGCAACCATCCTCGCTTCGGCCATCGGCACATCGCTGGCTGGGGTCCTGGCCTTGCCTGCCCATGATGCATTGTGCCAGCCGTAAATCACCTTTGACCCATAACCGTTTATCATATAGAAATGATGTGCTTTCCTATATGATAAATGACCTAAACACTGAAGTTGGCAAAGATTACATGGCCCTGGGGGAGGAAAACCCACAACCTCGATCCCTGTATTTCAAGGAAACCTAAAGCAGTGTTGTCCCATTCCAAATTCCTTTATTGCTAAATGACGCTTTTTAGCTCAATGCGTTTGTGTACGTTAAAACGGTATACAGATAACATACAGTGGATTAAATCTGCTTCATACACCTTTCTGCCGTCGGATTAATGATATTTAAGAAAGAGATGACAATTTCCATGTTTTATATGTTCCACATACAGAGAAAACGATGTATCATGTCGATTGTGTGACAAAATTGTTGTTAGCGCAGGAGTGGCGTAATTCCCCGGACGGGGGCGGGGGTCGGGGAGATGCCCCTCATTCTCCCACCCATTTAAACTCTTGCTATGGACACGACCTACATGCAAGGAGTTTTTATTTTGCTTTCAGTGTTCCCGAGAATTTGCACCCAACTTACGCTAATGGAGTTACCATGGTGATAAAAGAATATGGCATAAATTCCAATCAGTAGGAAATCTACAAAAAATCTCTCTAACTGTTTATTCGTGTTTTCAGCTATTGTGTGAAACGTGTTAGGCCTATAGGAACTCCGTCTTCAGCTTCAAAAGTTTTCGTTCACCAGAAACCACTTTCATAGTTTTGTTTGATTTCCTTTTGGAAACCTGGAGAAAACTGCAGCTGTTGAATTAGATATTTTGCTCACTTTGAACTCTCTCAAATGGTGATACGCTTTAAAATGAGAGTAAAAAGGACGTCATTTACAGCGTTAGATTTGCAGACGGGATTCACAGTGTGTGGAATGAGAGGTGTAGGTATGTGAACGACTTCCTTACTATGTTATGGTAAAATTAAGACTACATAACGACTCGGTTTAGTAGGCAACGTCTGTTATCGTGACCTGTATCTATAAGCTAATATTTAGAGAACATGTGTGTGCCATGGGGATTTATTTCAACTGAACGTTAAGACAAAAAAGACCGATATCTCTACGGCATAATAACGACATACTAACAGATCGTTTGCCATTAATTTTGTAGTACTTCTCACTTCTACGGTGTGCACTGAATGAATGCTCGAAAAAGCCAGACTTTATTTTGGTAGGCTGTTCTTAGGCTGAAGGTTTGAAACATCATCTTTGCTGGCTAGTGAGTTTCATGTACTTTTAGACTTTCAGCCGTAAACAGGAATAGTTATGGCGCAAGCACACGCCAGTACGGGTTGGCAGTGGTTCTGTGGATTAAACTCTACGGACTTGGATAGCTCGGGAGGTTTCAACCTCGTCAACTGGCACGACAACACTTGTTTTGTAGACGCATTGGACTTCATTCCTCACCTGGGATTTATCCTCCTGTCTTCTGTCGTCCTATTCTTAGGATGCTGCAGCAAAGGTAGAAGTTCGGACTACCTCATCCGGTTTCCCGGTCATTCCGCAAGATGGTCTGTGTCCATCCTCCTGTTATTCCTCCTCCTTGCCTCCTTAGCTGAAGGCATCCTGACAGATGAAACTTATATCCAGAGTTTAGGGGCAACTCAGCCCCATCTGTACGCACCGTCAATCTGCGCACTAGTCGCTGTGATCGTCTCTCTTGTCTATTACCAACAAATGGAGATCTGGAAAGTTGGTGGCATGGCCTTCCTCCTGCTGTTCTACTATGCAGCGGCGGCTCTGACAGAGATTGGAAGGCTCATTAACTTGTTTGAGCTAGACCAAGTATCGATGAAGATTACCCGGTTTGACCTGGTGGTACTGAAACTGAATTGCTTTATGGTGCTTTTCATTTTGGAATTAAATGTCATCCGAGTAAAGGTGAGACTCTTAAAACAAATGGAAAGTCGACACGGACAGAATTAAAGACAAACTTAAATAGCATACAGACTCATATAATATCAGATGAGGTACAGAAATAACCAGGTCAGAAAAGTAACCGAAAGTGCATCTACTTTAAACAAGCAAGCAGTTCATCCATGCGCTAAGGACCTAACATTTTGGCGGTTATTCAAAAGAAATGAGGGCTTTTGGAAAGGCACTAAAGAAGATAGTTTTGTCTCATTCGCTTAGTTTGCATCAACTTGAAATGCGAAGCTCCCGCGCTTAATTCCAGCTTTTTAAAATTAGTGTTGGTGCGTATAATGGAGTAGGTCCCGCGGACCACTAGTGCCTCAAGCCTGTACAGAATACTTAATGTGGCCCGGCTCCTAGTATTGCCAAGTAAAGTTTACTGTCTCTCGAAACTGACAGGTGTCATGTCGCAGACGGCGAAGGGAGGACAAAACACCGGAGGACATATCTTCCCCCGGTCGGCTCTACTGCAGTGACTACGTCAACTTTGCCTCAGAACTGGTCTTCTGGTGGCTGAATTGGCTTTTCTTCCTGGGTTACAAGCGGCCAATCGAGATAGACGACTTGGGAAGGCTGCCGAAGAGAATGAGCGCCGAGCATCTCCAGCAACAACTCAAGAAAGAATTCCAAGAGGAGCAGGTATACGTTCACACTTTCACCTTTACCGTAAAATTTCCAGTTTTACGATCAATCGCAACTAGAATTTCTTTAACACATCATAGACCTATCAATGTTGATAGTATACAAACATTACATAATACCTCCAACAGCTTCGCGCATGGACTTATCTGTGTGTTTCTGTGCGTAGGCACTATGCAACTCTTGCATAGTTAAATGTAAGGTAATATGGAGGAAAAGCCTCTTTAACTTGGGCCTTAACGGACAATAAGTTTTGCTTTTCAGAAATCAATCCAACCAATCAGAACTATGAAAACGGATGATTCAAATGATTTGTGCTTAAAGCATTAATAATCATCGATTGACTTTACCACTACATTTTTAATACAGGACCACCTATCTATAGAGCTTATTTCCGTGTACCACGACACACCACGTTCATAGCATTTAAACGCTATGTAATATTCAAAACTGATTTTTCTGTGTAAATTCCTTTCAAAAATACATAGTTTTCCTTTCATTTCCCACCAGCACAAGGCTGCGGCCAAAGGTCACCAGCCCTCTCTCGGTAAAGTCATCTTCCGTATCTACGGGGCAAGGATGGCCTGGGCAGGGATTATAAAACTGGCCGGCGATTTCGCCGGTCTTATCGGCCCACTCTGCGTGTCTGGTATAGTGTTGTACACCGCTAATATTTACTACAAACAAGACCCAGGCGAAAAGGTTGGTTGTTGTGAATCACAGTGACAAAACTTATTCGTCAATAATCCCTCCCAAGGCGACTGTTCATTTGAAGAATCTTTTCGAATTCGCTTGATCCACCTTACCAATACTTGCTTTGCAATAAACAATGGTAACCCCTATAACTAAGGACTTGATTTGACATGTTCGCCTTTGCACAATACAAACAATGCACACAATTTTTTTTATACAGAGGTGAAACACAAAAGAAAAAGGGGGCCGTGAAGAAAAACTAGTTATTGGGAAAAACTGGCATAGCACAAGGAAGTTTAGAAAAAAATCTTATTTTATTTCCATTGCTGCCCTAAACCATCAGCCCAAACTACACATAATGATAACCTGTATTTTAAACAAGTTCACTGACACCGCCCAAAACTTGTGCGATTAAAAATTGCATCAATGTTATAAAAATATAAATTGACATAAAGTACCAATGTTACAACCTAACTAAACCTAAATCTAAGAAACAGATACATCAAAAGTGGACAAATTAAAGGATTATATAAACAAAGGAAAAACATATGCATTATGGTCGCAAATTTCTATAATTATCTTTTCAGGTCTCTGATATGGGTATGTAAAAAGTAAAATAACCATATGGATAAATGACGATTGATTCTTCTCTTGCATTTCAAATATATGTCATCGTCTTTAAGGGATCAAAATGAACACCCCCTAACTTACTTTTTAGTTCAATGGCTTGGATTCTGATTAAAAGAAATCTATTAAGGTTGACTTTGAACGGGGATTTCTTCTAGCAATGTTTGACGTCTAATGGCATTGATTCCACACCGGTAGTCTAATCTGAGTAAGGGAGCAAGTGGAGCTTTCTGATGTTTTCTGAGTTATATTGATGGGTTCAATTGAGCCCCACCTGAGTACGCTTATGTTTTTTTCACAAGCCGTCGGGGGCATACACTGAATATACAGTGTTAAAATACACGTCGGGCAGGGCAAAAAAAAATCCAATTTAAAAGAAAATCGGGTGATTTTCAAACAAACAGACGATAGCAAAATGTTGCATAATCACAATAGTGATATTTTGGCCAGCTCATTTGGACTAGCACTATCATTTGGACTCTTTTGTGAAGCACGACACTTGTCTTCCCTTTTTGTCATCTGTTATAAGTCGACAAGGGTAAGCAGTCAAAAGATTCATACTCCAAATATCGAGATGACTCCAAGTTGTCCAGATGGGCTGTTAATGTTGTGCCATTTGCTCGTGTCTGTTCACAGAATGTTCGGGTGTAATCTCCATATTAAACTTTCTTTTTTTCTAAAAACGAATGGATCTGCCTCTGAACATGCCAGTGGGGAACTCAGGGTAAAAATTGCGAGAGATTAATAGAGGTGCACACATTGTTTTCAAGAGGGAGCTAAGAAAATATGGTTTGTGAAGCAGGGGGGGTATTAGGACACGATCTGATGTTTTCCTCGAAGATTGGGGGCATTCTTCCATTGCCCTTTACGTCACTGGAACAAAACAGTTAAGAAGCTGTTGAAATGATCACGTTTGGTTGAGTGTTTCTCACGACTTGAATTTTTCTTTCTGATTCAGCTGGGTCCTCATTTTATTGATGTATCTGAGTTTATAGCCAACGGTTTCGTCTTAATGGGAATCACATTCATCGCTGTGTCGTTCCAGTCCATAGCAGCCCAGATATCACTATTCTATGCTATATTTTACGGCATGTGTCTACGCTCAAGCATCCAGGTAAGTGGCACTAATTCTTATTTTTTAGGCTCTATGCCAAGACCTCAAAGGTCATACAGCACGTGGATTAGTGTACAAATTACTCTGACAATGGACAAAAATGTCTATTAAAAATGTAAAAAAACAAAAAACACAAAAAACCCCCCAAAAACCTCGGTAACGGGCTTCGTTTCATGTGGCCAACCACAGTGACCATCTGAATTGGTCAGCTAACTGAACCTTTATTGTCCATCCGTAATCAAGTTCATTTGGCTGTTCTTCTTGAAATGCCTATGAGGTGATCGTGGGAAGACGCTGTAAAAAACCTTGGTTAAAAAATGTTGGGTTTCAAAGGGGTTACCACTTATTGGTATGGCAATAAATAATTGGTATGGAAATGAATAAATGTTGCCTAATGTTTTCCATTTTTTATTTATACTGTTGGGTTTGCTGAGCTTACCAAAGTGTTAGCGTAAAATGACCTAATCGATAGGTTTTTTTACAGACACGTTGGTTAAGTTTTCCTTGTAAATTGAGCGTTGGTTAGAAGAATTTATGTTCACCAACCAATAATCGGTGTTTGTTTTACTTTTCTGCAGCATGTTAGTGATGTGAATTTGTTTTGTTTGCAAGTTAACCTTTTATTGGGTACAACTTTTTTTTCCCATTTGAAGTGAAAAACTCACCCAAAACTCTGGGGTTGGTAAGTGTAGCTGTCTCATTAATGTTTGCATTTGGTATTTTCTACCAACGTTGAGTACTAACTTGCTTAAATATTCACCTTTTTTGAGTGTATGACCGTAAGGCTAACTATATAACAATATAGATTTTGCAGAATTATACGCAGAAACTGTTTTTATTGGGACTTAAATCGCGACAAATCTTATTCTGGTCCTGTGTCCCACGCACAATGTAGTTGTCGTGACTTCACACTCAGGGGACGGGAATCACTCCGAGACCACTTTGCATTTTGATACCCCCCCCACCAAAAGACCTCCAGAGCCACGAATCAGAAGAAGAGTACGCCTATGTGAAATGTTGGAGTCGTTTTAAAAATAGCAAGAGAAGAATATTTTAGACTTTGGGGACCATATTAAGAAGGTCAGCAGCTCGGAGTCGAATTGCAGAGCTGGGAACGTATCGTGTGTTTACCAGATGTGCGAGCTATGCACTCAACCACAGTATCGTCGACCGGGGTAACACTAGCAGGTCAAAATCCTTATCGTTTCTGCTTTTCCCAAAACATAAATATTCTTTCCGTTGTTGATTTGATATTTTTGTCATCCACTGTGAGTTAGATTAATTCATTCAGTGCTGCCAAGTTACCCGGTGGTTTGGGGCAACTTTGGCAAGTTGCCGAAATTTAATAAAAAAAAACAACAAAGGATTATAACAAAGTTGTACACATGAAAAATCCTTCAGGCCAAGAATCCAGGTGTATTTTACGACAAAACTACTTTCATAGAAATATTGTAGACAATCTTATGTCATTTATATAACGCATTGTGAATATATCATGATTACAACCAAGGGGTGTGTCTTGCTACCCCAAGCTGCCATAGATACCCCGGTTTACGGTTCTACAGTTAATAGAGGTAAGCCATAAATACCTCAGACAGTTTCCCTTAAACAACGCGCAACGCGACCGTGTAGCAACATTTGATAGTGCCCACTGCGTAAAAAAGAACGCTCAGGCAACTGGGCATGAGACAGTTTAATCCATTCCTATTGGTTAAGAGATTGCATGTGACGCAGCAAGCTGAACGCAAAACGTCCGCGTCAAGTCCATATATGGAGATTCTTCTGGTAACACTAGTCAAGGAATGTACCGTAAAATTGACGAGGTGTTCTAGAAAATAAAAGTAAAATTCTAGACCAAAATGTTAGAAATTTATCATATTTTGACTTCTTTTGACTCTACCTAACACACTATTTAAGAATGGTAATATATATATGTCTGGTCTAAACTAAAAAGTACGTTTAAGGTCGGCTTAGTACTTTTTATTCCCTCTATTTAATACCATGAATAGTCTTACTTGCGCATAATAAGTTAAAAGGAGCGCTGTTTACCCCTCGTTTTAAATACTGTTTTGTTAAATTTATCGGCAACAGTTAAATATTCACTGTCTCATCTCTCCCTCGAAGACAATGGTGTATGAGAAGTCGTTAAGCCTGTCAACATTTGCTTCGATCGGTGAAGAAATGACAACGGGTCAGATCACCAACCACATGTCGACTGACGCCATGAATCTGCTCTACATGTTTCAGAATTTTCATTTCGTTTGGACTGTTCCTTTCGTGGTGAGCACAAACTAGTTTTCAGATAATTTCTTCACGTTTAATCACTTGCTTTAAATCATTTATTTATTTATTTATTTATTTTTTACTTACCCGTGATAACAGATTGTTAGATTTTATGTTCAAGTTCTTAGTTTAACTTCATTGTTGTATTGTAACTTATTCTCTTTAAGTCTAGCCCAGGAAGCAAGTTTCAGGTAACTTTGTATTTAATGACAAAACAAACTACCTCAGATCTAACCATTTTATCCGATTAACATGTCACACGCACGGCTATGTACGCGATTGCTGTCTAAAATCTTGACTGCTTCCATCATTATTTAAACAAACATAATGGCCCACTATACGAAAGATGCCTCATATTGTGATTAAATGACTGCTAGATGGCTCAATCGATTCAAGAGCTGATCATTCTATCCATCGATAATTCTATGACTGTCTGAATGACTTTCTGACTGACCAACTAGTAAATAAGCCAGTCACCGGACCTTGATCTTCCAAGACACCTGTTATTTCAAATAACAAACTGCATATTTATGCTACACTTCTGTCGGTTTTGTTGGTTTTCAGAATTTCTGATGATCTGCTTTGTTCTAAGTCCGTTTAAAAGAGAGCGGGTCACGCGTAACGTGTGGCATAGTAACATTTTTCGATGGGGCGTTTCTCTTGCCCAAGTTTACCCCTTTCATCTGATGTCACTGCTTTTTTTATTTTCCGGCGCAGGTGGCTCTAGTTTTGTATCTCTTGTACGAAGACTTGGGTGTGGCGGCACTTCTAGGAGCTGTAGTCTATCTCATTGTTATTCCATTGCAGTTAGGTATTGCCAACTTCATGGCAAAACATCAGAAGAGGGCTCTGGTAATCACAACAATTTCTCTTTTTGAAAGTTGTTTTGAAATAACAATAACATAATACGACACACAAGTGTTTTTCAAAAAACCCTTTCTTATATTCGAGCAAGGCAGTTTGGTGCTTCGTGCAGTTTGCTTGATTAGCTACCGAATAATGAATACCTGCGATTCACAGTATTGCTCCTCCAAGAGTTTGCAACGCGCTGGCCAACCACAACGCGCGAAATCTGTCGACCTCTTTCAAACGAGCATTGGGTCGACAGATTTTGCGCATCGCGATTGGCCAATGCGTTGCAAACTCTTGGAGGCGCACTTGTGAATCGCCCGTACGTACGCCCTATTCAACTTTTAAGTTACACTGGGAAATGTTTCGTGTTGCTCTTAAGTATTCATTGGATTTCAATTTGAATTTAATTCAACATTGACTTCCACATTACAATTCAGCCAATAGAAGATCGACAAACGAATGATTTTAGGCAAAATACGAGATTATAATTCAAGTAAATCACAACTAAAACCAATCTTGTCTCAACAAATCTTGAAAAACTTCCGTATACACTGTTATCTCGGCTGGGTGACAATTATTGGTGACACTGGTAGAAATAAGTGACCACAACTGTCACTTGAATTCAAGTGTCGCTGTGATAGAGCTTATAAGTATCAGAGTACTTTGAAGAGCCGTTTAGAGAGAAAGTAGCTCCAACTTCAGACTTTGGAACCAAAACAGCTTTTCATTGTGTGCATTGCAGGTGCAGCTCTTGTGTGCTGATAGTACCCAACGCATAATCCACCATGTTGGATCCAACAATACGGGCGATTCACGACATTGTGCCTCCAAGAGTTTGCAACGCGTTAGCCAGTCACAACGAGAAATCTGTTCGACCGTTTCCAAACCCGCATTGGATTGACATATTTCCGCATTGTGATTGGCCAGTGCGTTGTAAACTCCTGGCGAAACGCCCGTATTGAGCCAGTCATGTCGCATCTTTCCATAAACAGCTTAGTAATTTAGTGCTATAGGACAGCGACACCGCCGTCACCCCAGTGCAACATTAGGCACTGTCGCCTTATTGTGGACTCAAAGGGAATTTCTAACATTTTCCCTAGTACTTTGCTGATAAGCGACTGAGATACTCTAACGAGATCCTCCAAGGCATCAAACTCCTGAAGTCGTACGGATGGGAGCATCCTTATCTTCGGGTAGTGGAGAACATACGGAATCAAGAACTGATATCGCTGCTCAAGATGAATGTTTCGTACGGGTTAATCGGTAGGAGGCACTGTGCAGTCTGTTATTTTGACGTCACAGCCTTTTTCTGCTTAAACTACATGGCTGGCTCTCGGTACAAATTTAAATAATTTACAATTGTTGAAAACAAGATACTTTTGAAATACAATTCTATTTGAATCTAATGTAACGTGTTTCCATATTTAATAAATTTGAGGTAAAATCGAAAATGAACCAAAGAGTGACATTTCTGCAAACTTTGGCCGTTGGCAAGTTGTAGGCAAACTGCAAGAGACGTCTTATTCGGTGCAAATTTGAAGGATGAAAACATGCTCGGGAAACTTGATGCTCAACACGACTACAGCTATTAGTTGAGATATAAATTTATGTCATAATAAAACATTTACACCTCTCCAAAATGAGTTCTTATTCTCACCATCTTACGATTTCAGGGTTTATCGTTTCGTCATCTCCCCTTGTCGTTACACTGCTGGTAAGATGTTATAACTTCTCAACTTGATCCAGTTATCTCACTGATTACAGAATATAGCTAAATCTAAGTATCGGCCGGTATTTCTGTACGAAATTGCTGACTGTGCATTTTCTATGGCCAGATATAAGGGTGGTCCGCCGTTTGCATAATAAGGCACCTGTTTCTGAAAGGTAGATAAGTGAAGACATACCCAATTCTTTTTTTAAGGAAAAAATGGCTGCCTTGAAACATGGCCCTATACCTCCCTATCCACCACTCGATGATGTTGTAGCTGCGCCCCTCGTGATGCGGCTTTGTAGCTGTAGACAAGAATGATTAACCCCCCAAATAATATGATGAACAATACTAGCTTGTCGTTTTCACCTGTTGAAATTATTTTGTCATTCATTCTGCTCATAAACCTCAGACCTTTGGGACCTACACTACCTTCACCGGTGAACTCTTGACCCCCGAGAAAGCCTTCTCCGCTTTGGCGCTTTTCAACCAGCTCTCTGCGCCCCTCTTTATTCTTCCCCTGGTGACGGCCACCCTCGTCAACGGCATCATCAGCACCAGACGGCTGCAGAAGTTCTTCATAGCCCAAGAAATTGAGAGAAGTTGGAATGGGCGGGACTGGAGGGATAGGGTGGAGGGGCAGGGCCCGTCCGATTACGTAAGTCATTACTCCTCGTCCTGCAAATACTGCGCATTTTTGCGCAGTACCCGTAAAGACGCATTAAATTTACCCCTGCTCGTCAGGGACACATGATTCCCGAGATCCTCTGCGATCTGTAGGTATCTACGCTGCTACTTTCGGCCATCGGTCTCAGGCAGAAACTCCCCTCCGTTCGTCGAAAAGAGTCCGTGTTGGGGAGTATCTGTTTGTTGGTAGCGAAGTATGCAACTCATATATTTTCATGAACCTCCAAAACGGAGCTCCCACCAAAGAAGACTCCGCACGCTAGGAAAATCGTGCCCTCTCTTGGTTCGGCTTGGGACCCAAGAAAAGTCATGGAGTGTGTCTGATGTGGTGGGTCCAAATGTCAAAATACACGTACTGTATTCTATGGCCATTACTGAAAAAGGCTTGGCTACACAGGTCAGGTCACAGGTCACAGGCCATTGAAAACTCAGGTGGTGGAAAACTAACAGTCCGTGAATTTCACACTATGCAAAACCCAGATAAACACTACAACCACAGATAGAATTAACCACTAGGGATCACAATATTTCAATGAAAGTTTGCGGATGATATTTTGATGACGTTATTGTTACCTCAACAGAACGAACAAGGAACTACCATGGATATGATAGACGATGACGTCACGTGTGACGACGAAACAACACTCATGCTTCCCAAGATGGAGATTTCAAAAAATAAACGATCAGACGTGTATCAGGCGACGAAAAATACCAAGGCTTTAATAAACTGTTTGCCCGAATCGGTCGCCATTAAGGTATATGTGCACTGTTGATAAACCAACGCAGTCGGTGTTAAATCTCGAATGAGATGCTGCTGATATTTCATAAAGTACACTCAGAACTTCCTCTTGATAAAAATTAAAATAAGCTTAAACTTGAAAGACTAGGAGTAAACATGAGTTAAAAAAACCGAATCTAAAACTATTTTTCCCATGTGAGAAGATGAATTAGTTGCCCGTTAACATTTCTTTGGAGCAGAGCGTTTTACCAACAGCACTTTGATGTTAACCCTTTTGGTCTTTTAGATTACAAACGGCAACTTCACCTGGGAGAAAGCGAGCAGCATACCCGTCATCTCGGACATAAACGTTGACATTCCTGCTGGTAAAAATTGATGTTTCATAAATTCAGGAAAACGTGATGGTAAAGTAGTCTTTGATTAAAAGATCTTCTGAAAACTTGATATTTTCTGTGCTTTGCAATTCTCATTACCCGACGAATCTTTTGTTGTGTCTTAAGCGAACGACTGACGAAAAATATCTTTCCGCCTGATCTTTTCAAAACATTAGAGTTTTACCTCAATGTTTCAAATTTCTTTCTTGAAAAGAAACAACAGAAATGAAAATCACACGATATGCTCTTTGTATCTTTTACAGGTAAACTGACGATGGTTATAGGATCAGTTGGTAGCGGCAAATCGTCACTGGTTTCAGCTATTCAGGGAGAGATGACAACCTTATCAGGCACCGTCCAGTTTAACGAGTCAGACCTTATTTCTTTCTATAGCCGGTTATACACGCAAGACTGTGGAATTTCGAATGTCACCGAAACTCTTCTTTGAAATATTCCTACCTAAGAAGCAAAAATTGTGGGAGATATAAGCACAGAACTAGCAGCAGAACAGAAAATTAATTCTTCTGTGAAGAGTGTGACTTGTACTCATTCTTGTCGGCCATATGCCAGAGATCGTTTTGGTAAAAAAGACATGTACAAATTCCTATCTTCGCTGCATTTTACGACTGCTTTTGTTTCGTTCCAGAGGTACAACATCCATCGCATACGCGGCCCAGAAAGCCTGGCTGATCAACTCCACATTCCAGGGAAACGTTCTGTTCGGCAAGGAGCTAGACACCAAAAAGTAAACCCACAGAAAAACTTGGACAACTTGTCCTGCTCAAAATCGTACCAGTTACTTCTATTTAGAAAAGAAAAAAATGTGAATTGCCATTATTGTGAAGAAGAAACTGAATCCCTTATCCATTCCTGGACCGCTAAAACAGCAGACGATCAACCAATGTGTACCTAAGTTATCATGGTTAGCCGTTTGTCCTTCAAATGGGACGAAACCTCCAACACATCATTGAAACGGACATCGTAAAAGTCAATCTGCAAAACCACTGATAATGTGGCAGTGTCTTATCATGCTCATGCCACTCAAAAGGAGCAGCGCATTTTTATAACCGCACATGCAGGTACAAGAAAACCATCGATGTGTGTGCTCTTAAGCCCGATATCGAAATCCTCCCTGGTGGAGACCAGACTGAGATAGGAGAAAAGGGAATCAACATGAGTGGAGGACAAAAGCAACGAATCAGCATCGCTAGGACAGTCTACTCCGACAAAGAAATCATCATACTGGTAGACTGATACTTTTTCTCGAACCCTAACGCTTCCCTCAACAAAGTAACTCCACACACCATCCCCAATCCAAACATTAACACCAGCACACTCCTGTGAATCTGTAGTCTTGCTGGGACCATCATGTACTGATGAAAATCAACACCAATTTAAGCAAAAGAAGACCAAATGAATTAAGTCTTCATACTGCAGTATCTTATTCTTCCTTAATAGGTGTTGGTGTATAAATAATTGTATTGGTGGAACTGGTATTTAAAGATCACTGCAGATCACTGCAGATTTGAAGCAAAATGCACAAACAAAAATCAACACTAGTAGCCTAGTAGGACCCAAACACGACCACGTGAAATAACTCTTTTACATATTGGTATTTTGTTCTTCTTTTAGGAGTGGGCTTTTGGCTTAAACAAGTTTATTATAGTGAAAATGAAAATAAAAAAGTTTCGGAGACATCCCATTCCATCCCATCCCATGCCAAAGCAAAAACATAAAAGCACAGTCATTCCCATTTTCTGGTTAGGTTCCGAAAAATCTTATGCCAGCTATTCAGATGTTAACTAAATGCAAAAGGACCTCAGTATCACGAAAGAATAAAGCTAGCTTTTTCAATGTTATGAAATTTTGACAGGACGACCCACTATCAGCTCTGGATGTCCACGTAGGATCGCAAGTCTTCCACAAGGCTATCGTCGGGACCCTCCTCAAGAAGAAACGAACGGTTGTCTTGGTAACACATCAACTGCAATACTTACATCATGCACACAAGGTAGGAAAGAAGGCGGGAAATACAATGTAATAAAAAGACGTGGCTGAATACTAAGGTAAAATAATATGTTGTCATACATTGTATCAAAGTTAGAATAATAACTATGATCACTTGAAATCCTTCTCAATATGCAAATTTTCAAACTATAGAACAATCAGCTTTACATTAATCTTGATCATCAGATCATTGTCATGAAAGATGGTGAGGTGGCCCACCAAGGCACTCTTCAAGACATTATAGACGAGGCTCCGGAACTTTACAGTGAGTACCAGCAAGCCATCAAGACTGTTACGGAGTCCGAGACGGAGGCAGAGGACATCATGAGTAGGATGTCTGATGAAGAAAAGAGGGAAGTCTTCAAGAGGAAGACTAACCAAGAATCATCCGTTGAATCAAGTAAGACAGATCCAGAGGAAAAGGGTTTTAACTGTATCACATGCATTCACTATTACCACGTTCACAATATAGAAAGGAAGCCTAGCCGAAGGAAGTTCGAGCAATATGAGAATCGTATACAGTGGAGATGTTTTCTTTCGAGAGCTTTTATCAAGGTCCAAGGTCCTCGTGTTCTGTGTTCAACCTGATCTACTCCTGTGTACGAAAACCTTCTCTGTCCAGGAAGGCGTCTCTAGTGTAACGGACTATTTTCTCAGGCTTTGATACTGATGTTGCTCTAGAGGTCTGTAGGAATGAGACAAATTAAGCACACTTGATGTGCCTGTTGCTCTTTTAAACACAATTGTTAAATCGATTTTTGGCTCTTTGCAGGTCGCTCCAAAGCCGGCACCAAACTCATCGAAGAGGAAGAAATGGAGCAAGGATCTGTGTCCTACAAAGTCTACGCATTCTACTTTCGAGCGATGACGTGGACGATGTCCATTGGTTTCCTCGCTGGATGTGTAGGAAATGCAGGCTTCACCGTGGGAACCAACTTCTGGCTGTCTGAATGGTCTACTGCAGGAATCACAACTGATAATGTAAGGAATAATTCAGTTTGAAAAAATATTGAAGCCACTGCAGAGATGGGCATCGGTAGAATCTACCTTTGCAGTGGAAAATTCAGTTTAGAAATTTTGTGTAGACCTAGAGCAGCAAGAATGCTCTTAAAAAATGAACGACTTGGTCTGCAAAAGAAACCACAAACCAGGCATTGGGTAGAACGTATTTCCACCTTTTTCATATATAATCTTTTGTTTGGAAACTGCTAATTTGAAACTTTGTATAGGCCTACTCTTATACAAAAACACATTAATTTTAGCGCAAGGCAAAAGTTCGGTTTCATTATTGAATCCCTATTGTCATATGTGTATGAAGGCATATTCAAATGAAAGAGTTCCCCTTTCTCCTTCCTGAACCTACATAACTCAACAGCAAAATGTCTTATTTTCACAAACCAATATCAAACATGTCGTTTGTTTCCGGGTTACTTCAATAAATTATGTCAATATTTTCATAGACCATTATCAAGACCATTCGAAAGTTGTTCTGTTCTTGTGTCTAACTGTAGTCCACTATAAAGCCGTTATCCTACTACATTGCTGGCTATGCTGGATTGTCTGCCGGCGGGGTTGTGACTACTTTCATCGGTTCCATGTTTATCGTGTCTGGAGCGTACATCGCCTCACGTGATCTGCACATCTCCATGTTTCGTAACATCGCCAAATGCCCCATGAGGTAATATTCAATTATACCGCATATAGGGTTTGTTCCATAATAGACAGGTTAATTTGTTCTCAACGGACCACTGAAAGGAAATTTATCGTGGAGAGAATAGAGTTGTTCGTGTTTTGACGAAATGTTTTCCAATACTTCTAAAATATTTCGTACCATAACACAAAGAAGCTTAAAAGAAACGCAATTAGATTGACAAAGTAGACATGTCGTAGTGTCTTCTAAATGAGGTTTGTAATGAAAAATTGGAGAGCAATACTAATATAAATGTAGAAAAGCGATCAACAATCGATCTTACCTTTTTTGGATCGTTACAGATTTTTTGACACAACCCCTCTCGGCCGTGTCTTGAACCGCCTGGCAGCTGATACAAATATTTTGGATATGGTGAGCACGTCCTTCTTCTAGAAGGAATTCGCGTTTCGTTTGAAAACGAAAATTTACTGTCCTTTTCAACATAGAGCCTGTCGTCACAGCAATTGAGCATTTCAATATCAATTTGTCAAAAGCAGTCAAATCGCGACCAAATATGAATGACCTTTATTTGATTTATCATATTATGATCAGATACTAGTATTCTGAGTAGATTAGTCGTTTTCTGTACAATGTATTCAGCAGATCCAACTTTATTTATTGACTTTCAAAAAAAAATTCGTTTTGAAACTGCAAACAGAAACTTTTCCAGAGCATGAACGTCGCAGTGTACTCTTCTGTGAACTATATTGGTGGACTTGTGGTCAATTCCATCATCCTACCAGTTTTCCTGATCTTCGTTGTTCCAATGATGGTCAGTTACTACTTTCTGGCGAAGTTCTACGTCACGACGTCTAGGTGGGTAAACACTGGCGTTTCGATGGCATCTTTAGTAAACAAGACATCAGCCGTCGAAATGAATTTTTCATCTGAAACACGAACAAGTCAACATGCCGCCATCACTGATACAATTTTGCGCGCTGTGTGTGCAATTTCATGTACCTTTCAAAATATTGCCAGATCTTAAAATTTGTAGACCGCGTAACCACCAGGTCATTTCTGACCGAAATTCGAGATAACAGAGACGCCTGTAACTGACACTACCCATTGGTTGGTTTTCGTTTTTTCGATCCTTCAAATGCGTCAACGCAAAGAATCCATGAACAACGTATCAAACAAGATATGGGACGTAGAACACCTTTCACCTTTGTGTCGGTCATTGTTTGATTGGAATCTCAGGAATTCTTTACAGAAAAGGGGGGGGGTGTGTGTCAGGTAACAATAGTCTAGGGTATGCATAGGGATTGGACATGTAAGAGGGGTACTCTCCGTCCCATACCTTGCTGTGTATAATGAACAATGCTGGTAATAATATATTCCAAGAGCTGAGGGAGATCCATTACCTTGCAATTTAAAATCGAATATAACTACTTTCTCTGTGTGGCGGCATGAGATCCCTCCAACTACAAATAGTTGTATTTCTTATTAGAAGATTGAATGGCATCATTTTCATTGACTCGCCGTTCAGTGAAACATTCCCTTTCAGATCGCTTCAGAGACTCGACAGCGTGACCAAATCGCCAGTATTTGCTCACTTCTCAGAGACCTTGGGCGGACTGCCAACCATTCGAGCATACGGGTACGCATTGTAATTCCAAGGGTTGAGATAATCATTGAGCTACGTCATTTGTAACCAAAGTCCAACGGTAAAGTTTAACAAATTAACTGTCTTCTACGAAACAAAATGAATGAAGATTTAAGCCGGAACTCTCTTCCGGAGAATGCTTGATGAACATTTAATGATTTTTTTTTGCCGGAGCTTAATTCTATGCAGATTTGTTCATGTACATCTATAAATGCACATCTTTGTATGACATTAACGTAATAGACACAATATCAAAGATATGTGCAATGAATCATGTATTTTTTATCGTTCGATTTCCTCCTTTTATTTCCTGGGCCACACGCTTCTTCACAGAGATCAGGATCGGTTTTACTCGACTCTCATCAAGAAAGTAAATGCGAACAACACGGCTTTCTTATACCTTCAAACATCAAACAGATGGGCTGTCATGCGACTGGTAAGTTTAAGACTTAAAAACCAAACAGATCTGTACACCGTTTGCCATTCTGCATCTCTCGACTGTTCTACCGAGTCAGCGAAGGCAAGGAGTAAAACTACACGCACGTGTTCGAATGCATGAAAGTTGGCCAACTGATATATTTAGAATTACGGTATTCAAGGATTGATCGAAAGCGAGCAATCGAAAAGTTGTATCACAAACACAAACTCACACAAAAATAACATCATGAGATTAGTCAGTGTAACTTGGTGTCACTTTCAGTTGTGGTAAAACTATACACGCAAATAACGATGCTTGCAGGTTTTCGGATGCCTTTCTGATTTCTTCTCACTCGAAGTTGTTCATTGTCGCTTGAAAATCATTGAATAACATGCAAGCAAGTTTTAAGACCGTGCAAATTCACAAGTAGTCAGGCTATAGATTATTTACCATGCTAGGGAACGTTTCAAAGTGTTCTGAAAGTTTAGCTTTTATGGGCATGTTTATTCTTTTGTCAAAGGAACTGATTGGAGCCACTGGTATCCTAATTGCTGGAGTGGGGACCATCATCAGTTCACTCAACGGTACAATTGAACCCAGTGAAGTTGGGTTGGCGGTTTCCTATACGTTGTTGGTAAGTGTTCAAAGAGCTGTCTAGAAAAATACACTTTTGAACATCATAACAGGCATTATGTAGGATCTTAATAAGCGATAGCGGCTTCATTGTCTTTTACTAATACTTTTCTTGATAGATGAATCCCCTTTCTTGTAAACAATCTGAGAGACAAACACACCCCAACTTTGCTCATTAAAAGAATCGTTTGAGCTCTCCGAAATTTTGCTGTTCTTAACTTAAACATTTGGCCTGTGGAGTTGTACTTGTTTACGTCGCTTCTTTCACACAAGGCGATTCGAATGGAATTTTGCAGGTTGCCAATTACATGAAATTCGCCATCCGCCTCGCTGCTGAAACTGAGATGCAGATGAACGCGGTCGAACGTGTCCAAGAGTACTCGGGTATCGCCAACGAAGACTATCAAGGTATTCCTATCGGTTCATGTGCAACAGCACACGAGGGCGTGCTCTGGGTTTTCTGGCATGCATAAACAGCGGGAAGGGGGAGACAATCCTTGAATCAAAGAGACCCAGAAATTCCATTTTGATTGATTCATTAACTGCTTTAAGTAGTGGGTATAGAATTTCCTTGCCTGGGTGCACGTATGTTTCAGAGGGAAATTAGTAACTGCGCATGTCCCGTTTTTAGGGTCATTTGCATGCGTAATGAGGGCCATGGGAACTTGTGCCAGGCGAACAGCTGCTTCATTTCATAAAATTTACGTCTTATTTTTACTTTTTGGGAATAAAAATTCCTGCCCTAAATATTTTCATGGTAAGATAACGCCGTATCCTAACGTGTTTTGTGAAAAGAAAATAGAGAAATAATACCAGATTTGCCCAAACTAGTGATTTTTGTGAAAAGCTCTTTTCATAAGCTTTAGTTTGTTTACGTTTTGATTCGATTTTTGAAGGCTCGAAGCAAAGAATTCGAAGTTTTTCTGAAGTTTCCATAAGTGCGCTGTGGTGGAGAAAGGTGTGGAAGTTTTTAGATTTGCTGACGGTCAAATAGCTAGAGTTTTTTTTCTTCCCGACTGGACGCGTTTGCATATCAACCTAACGCAGTACTGATTCTGTTCATCCCGCATAATCTTACGGCCTTGCGAGCGTAAAAATCGGGGACGAAACTTGAACACAAAAGTACAGTTAAAGTTAACATGAGTTTTATCATTGAAACTGAGGTCTATCTGTTATTATAAAATTGCCAGGAAAATGTTGAAATTCACGGTATATATCCCCAGTTTATCTACAAGTTCTATACATGTACGCCGCGATACGCGTGTTACAGGACGCAGTGTACCGTACACGGTACGTGGCCAGGTGACTGGATCGGTTTTGTGCAAGTAAAACACGCATAGATCGCGCAGCACAGTCTCAAGTATAACTCGTGAAAGTCGAACTAAAAAATATAGCTACATAGAACTGATTGTATTGTGTAGTTGAGATTCTGGCCTGTCGTATGCAGTGTCTCACTGACCCAGAATTGGACCCCATTCGGCGTGACCCTTTTCTGGGTCAAAGTATGACCCCCTGTCGGGCCATATTTGACCTTTTCCGGGTAATTATTTGACCCTTTCTAGGTCGTGCCGAATGGGACCCATTCTGGGTCAATCTGACTCGGGGTGGTGTTCAGGGTGTAGTTTACACTTTTAAGACTCCCATCACAAGACCCCATACGAGACCATCACGAGACCAACTCAACTGAAGGACTCCAGTCTGAATCCAAGTCACAGGCTCATGACCTCACACAAAAGAATTCCCTTGCCTGCAGTAACACTGTTACTTGTTACTGGTCCTGTGAATGGTCTTGTGCATAGTCCATCCGGACTTGTAAATGGTCTTGGAACTGTCTGCTCTACTTCCTTTTTGCAACAAACTTTAAATTTAAGTAGCTTCTGCGTGTTTGGTGTGAGGATTTCATGGGTTGATGAAACTGGGGAACCATCGATCATCTCTGCTCCTGTCCAATAGCAGTTCCAATGTCTGACCGTAATGGATCCATGTTTGACGTTGCACCATACTGAACCCCAATAGGTACAGAGCCACCAGAGAGTTGGCCCCAAAGAGGAGAAATCAAAATGAACGGAATCTATGTCCGCTACGCCAAGGAACTAGATCCAGTCATCAAAAACCTTACGGTCACCTTCAAATCTGGAGAAAAGGTAATCTAAGTCTAAATTTATCTTTGATGATCGAAGCTATTCCGTTTCACAATGAGCAAGCCGATAGACTTTTGTACCCTACTTAATTTCCGCGAGTCATTTAAATTCTCGTACAGTCTATATTACAAGGTACGGTCGCAATTTAGCGGCTCTGGGACCAGAGACTATACATATAAATAAGATTTGGGACGGAGAGCAACCCCCCCCCGCCTTTGGGGATGTTAACTATAGTCTAGAGTGTGTATAGGGATTGGACTCGTAAGGGGGTACCCCTCCGTCCCACATCTTTCTGGGTATAAGACAAAGTAACGACGTTTGATATGGGCTATGGTATATGCAGCGAAAGGCGATTCATGTGTGTCTGAAGGAGGTGCTACTTGCCTCAAAACACACACTGCCAATTTTCATTTGTTTAAAGGTTTTTGAGGACTCTGAAAGTAAATAAACATAAGAAACAGTTCCGAACTTCTTGGGGTACGAAAACAATGGACATTTGTTTCGGAAAAACATTGCCATTTAGCCCTATTCTTCTTGAAACTCCTGAGTGGCATATCCTATCTACCGATCTCGTCTGTTGTAGGAAAGGAGTCATCCCGTGGCAAATATGAGACTTCTCTCATATTTTGATCCTGCAGTAAGATTAGCGTAATTTTTGGGGGGTCAGTCGTGACTAACCAGAGCTCTTTTGGGGCTCATTTTTATTTTGCAATGCACCTCAGGTGGGAATTTGTGGCCGGACAGGAAGTGGAAAGTCATCTCTAACTCTGGCCCTATTCAGAATCATTGACACTTGCAGAGGTAATCTAATATATCACCAGGGTAGGAGAGAGGTAAATGCATTTCATTGCTGGTGTTAGGGTTATTGAAATCAACAGATTTCGCTGGCAATGATAAAACGTTACTTTACCAGACCGATGTGCGCATGTTGACATAGACGTTCATAAAGTCAGCTCTCCTCTGTTTTGAAATTTGGCTACAGTATGCAATCTTCTCACTGGACAAAATACAAGAACCCTCTTCAGACCCGGTATTTTAAAATGAATGCAGCTTTCTGGCTTGCGCGTGTGGATTTGCAACTATATCATTCACCCAACCTCTCTCAGGCTCTATCCTCATTGATGACATCGACATCAGCACTGTTCCCCTGACCACCTTGAGACAGCGCCTGGCCATAATTCCTCAGGATCCCGTTCTGTTCAGTGGCACAGTTAGGTATGTATCTCTCCTAGTAAACTATTTTCAGTGCAGTAATATATGCCTTAAATGTTTGTCACACTCCGATGAAAGATGCTGTTGTCTCTTCCCTCTCCCTTCGAACAAAAGTAATAGAGGAATCCCAATACGACCTTTTTAGCGTCGATCTGCGCACTTTTGAGATTGAAAACGAGGCTGTATGTGTCAGCTTCAATTCTTAATACGATCAAACGATTGAAAGTAAGGAGTCAAGACACAAAATTCATAAAGGTGTGTTAAATTCAGACTTTTCAGGCTGAACATTTTTGTGGAAGAGTCTTTCAGGATGACTCGACACGTAAACTCAAAAGAAAATGTAACGACAATTGACCCCGAACTAACGTACCTTCGATGGTCATGTATCTTGTGCTGTGGGCGTGGTTTAAACTGAAGTGGCGTCACACTTATGAACCGGATACTCCATGTACTGTGTGGACTCCGCGGGCGCGCGCGACTAACTTTAAACAGAGACCCTCGGTCTAGATGCGCAGACGGCGCTAGTGTGAAATCTTTCTATAATAAGTTACCAAACATGGATTTTAGCTTTCAAGTGATGTCAAGGGTCTTGGCAATGAATAAGTAACACTTCTTCTCTGAAGCGAAATGTTTGTGTGTTTTTTGGGGGGCTGTAGACACAATCTTGATCCGGAAAACAATGGGACTGATGATGAATTGTGGCACAGTCTTGAGATCTCTCAGCTGAAGGATACGGTCAGTCAGATGCCCAAAGGTCTAGGTGAGTCAATTGGCAGCTCGTTCAAAATAAGGCACAGTTTGCTGAAAGGCGGTGGCAGTATTTTTGGGAGCTGTGTGGTGTTTTAATGTGTTTGTTTCTCTAGCATTCGTGATGGGTTCGTTCGTTTAGCTTCGACGAGTTTACTTGGGTTTAACCTCGACCCCACCGCCTGGCTTGTTTTAAACAACACACACCATCACCCACACATCAGGGTTAATTGTCCCATATATCAAAAAGGTAATCGAATGCACCAAATGCTGCTTATTAATTTTAGATTAACCCGGTAGATCAATCTTAATTTGTTTAGACTCCGAGGTCTCCGAAGGTGGAGAGAATTTCAGTGTAGGTCAACGGCAGCTGTTCTGTCTGGCTCGTGCCTTCTTGAGACGGTCAAAGATTCTTATCATGGATGAGGCTACGGCTTCCATTGATATGGGCACGGTGAGTTATCATCGTCCTGATCTGTAGATCCATTTCTTAAATCTTGCAGCTGGAATGACAAATATCCAAACTTGAAGACCAAATTTATCAAAGTGGTCCCTCTGACATTGAAATTTGAATGGATAATTCGTAAACAAAAAGTTGTACTTGCACTGATTATGCCCTTAACCTTTTTCCTGTAACAGGATAAGATTCTCCAAGAAGTTGTCGCCACCATGTTTGCAGACTGCACTGTCTTAACTATAGCAGTAAGTAAAGCATACAAATTGATTCTGCTCAAGTGTTACATGGAATCAGGTCCCAATTCTGAGACCAATTACTTATTTCTAATTTGTACAATCATGTTGGATATTATCACAGTTCACCTGACCTTGACCACTGAATAAATGTCTAGTCCATTTTACACACCCAGATCATCAAGAAAGTCGTTTACCTCTCGAATTTCACTCTCAATTACATCCTGGACGAATAGACTCCAATTTCTTCGATCTTGTTTCTGACAGCACCGAGTTGCCACGATCCTGGATTCCGACTCTATCTTGACCCTGGCTGATGGAGAGATCGTTGAGTATGACACACCGGAGAACTTACTTGCCGACCACAATAGCATCTTTGCTTCGTTAGTCAACTCAAAGCAGTAAAAACCTAGCATACTGCAGCTCCGAGAACCTTAATTTGCTTTTGCGTTTAAATAAGGCTTTTAGAGCAGCGAACGTACGGCAACATTTCTCTTCCATGTTTTATTTTCCACAGTTAAATAAATGAATGCTTGATCGGTCTTAAACAGATCAGATAAATACATGTTGGTAATTACCTAAGCCAAAGTCAAGGGTCATTATCAGTGTCCATTCTCCTGAGCCAGTCCTTAAAGGGTTTTACCACCTTTTTGCAGTTATCTGAAAATATAGGCTGACGAAGTTATTATTGAAAAGCACACTTGGTTTAAAGATGGTTATGGGATTACACTCCCTGTAAAATTATTTTGTTGGGCAAGCTGTCATTTTGAAGAAACGACGCGTTTTTTTAAATTGACGCCAGTACTTGGTTTGTAATTCGGTGAAGAGCCCGTGAACATAGGCGTGACGCGCAAATGCGAATTGTCTGATTGGTCGGTTCAGCGCGCGACATCGTTTAGCTACATTTGTCCGAATGAGAACATATCATGGTATCGAGGTTGAGTCCTTTTTTATGGAGAGTGTGCGCGCATGCCACGTAAGCCTCCTGTGGGAAGTAGCGCACAGCCATCCGTTACTTTATCACCCGATTAAGATGGGCCACTTGACGGATTTTCAATTTCACAAATTCATATCAAAGAGATCTAAAGCCCCGTTTTGAAATTCAACGATGTTGAAAAAAGAAATTCATCTTTCCCCAAGAAGCTTTATGTGCCCTTAAGTTTTTAGATGATATACACTTCATGAATAGTATGCACGAACGTGTGGAATTGGAGGGTAGCACACAATGCAAACTATTTGTTAAGCATTTGCAATTAAAGTACACATAGTTACAATGTGGCATTCTATTTGGAGTTACAGTAGCACACTTAATCTTTTAAAAATGAAGGAAAGTCTTCCATCACTTAATTAATAAAAATAATCCATACCAGAAACAGTTGACGGTTGCTTTTAGACAAAAATAAGTTATCAAGAAGCCCTTAATTATCTCTATTGAACGTTGTCTAATGAAAAGGTAGTCAAAACGAAAACCTTTTTGAAGTCCCTTTAAAATATAGCTACTGTTATTAACTCAATGATAAGCCACGGAAGACATGCAGTTTTTAAATATTTGTTTTGAAGTAAATCTTCAGACTATTCCAAAGGTTTGTCTCAAGCAATATAATTGCTCGTTTCACGAACAACGGATAAAAACGCTAGACTGTTTTGCTTTGTCATAAAGTATCGAAAGTTACACAGGTTTTTTTACGAAACCACCCCACTCACAAATGTTTGCATTCTTCACGTCTTGTTTCAAAATGTTTCTAATGCTTCTAATAGGCAAATTTGTGATATTTGTGATTGAGGTATGAGGGTATTATTTTAATAATAATAATTATAATTTATTCATTTATAAAGCGCAAATTTCGTAACAATATGTTTAAATGCGCTGTACATTAAAATAAGTATAAATACATTAACAATACATGTAACAGGAATTTAAAAGACAAGATACACCAAAAACAAATGATAAAATTAAGCATAGCAAACATACTTTTATTTGATAAGTAGAATAAGATAAAGAAATAATAAAACAGCATTATGGCTCGTCCCGATTCTGTTTCGAGCTGTCACTATCCTTGTGTCTTATATCATTCTTGTCGATTGAATAATTCCGCTCTTTACTGCTGGATTCATGTTCTCT